ACATTGTACAGGGCAAACACGGCAAGATAATAAGAATGCAAAATCGTATGACTGTTCAGACCAATACACGAACAAAAATAAATCTTAGCCTATTCAGGCAAGATTTAAGTGTTTTTTTTACTTGTTTAATATTATTTGTGTAGTTAAGGAAGTACAATCCTAAATACTCAACGTTTTATAGCTCCACGGTTTTGATACCATTAGTTACCGGCACACTCTCGCAAAAAGTGGTTCGGCCAGCTTTCTATACAAAACCTCATTGGCTCGGGGTTTTGTGCGTACACTTATCAGTCAGCCGATCACGCTCAATTGACTTCGGCAAAACCGCAATTCCCATCATAAAGAATAAGTTAACCAAACCATTTTTTTTCCAAGAGTGTGTTTCTAATGGACAGTTGAGAGTTATAAATAAATGTTAAATATTGCATTTATTCTACACATTATTTTGTAATCCTTTAATTTCTAGAAATTCTAAAGCATGTGTGCTCCATAGTCCAACAGTCGTTCCGAAATGCACGTGGTGAGATATCTTTGCTAAAAATATTAAAATATACGTTTAAATATGTTGTAGGCATGATTGAGATTTGTGGGGTTCACGAAAATTTAGGGTTAAAACAGACCATTCCAAATAAACCCATGCTTACTTCTGACTTGTGACCGACTTGTGATTTCAGCTCACCTAATACTCATTTTTGGCCCGAAAATCCAACTTCACAAAATTAAGTCAAATGTTCACACAAGGTGAGAAGAGGCCAAAAATGAATCCCCGAGAGATTTCAGCTCACCTAAGTCAAGATCCAGGGAGAAAATAAACATTTAATTTTTTTGCCCAAAAAGCCCAAATCTTGAAAAGTTGTCCATATCCGCGGTCATCAAAAATACTCATTTTTGGCCCGAAAATCCAACTTCACGAAATTAAGTCAAATGTTCACACAAGGTGGGTAGAGGCCAAATATACGTTTAAATATTTTGTAAGCATTAAGATTCGTGGGGTTCATGAAAATTTAGGGTTAAAACTGACCATTCCAAATAAACCCATACTTACTTCTGACTTGTGACCGACTTGTGATTGACTTGTGATTTGACTCTTGATGGACTTGTGATTGACTTGTGATGACTTGTGATTGACTTGTGATTGACTTTTTCATTCATTCATTCATTTCGGTTTTATTGTTAAAAAAGATTGTAACCAAAGAAAAAGTCCAAGGACTAAAAATATTTGCAACTGACTTGCGATTGACTTGCGATTGACAAGCGATTGACTTGTGATTGACTTGCGATTGACTTGTGATTACATTGCAATTGACTTGTGATTGACTTGTGATTGACTTGTGATTGACTTGTGATTGACTTGTGATTAAATTGCAATTGACTTGCGATTGACTTGTGATTGACTTGTTATTTGACTCTTGATTGACTTGCGATTGACTTGTGATTGACTTGTGATGACTTGTGATTGACTTGTGACTGAATTGATAGGACTTGTTCAATGACGGCCATCTCTGTAGAAGAACTGCAACTGTATTTTACGCAATCAAGCACGCATTGCGCAGTGTTGAAAATGTTCCAAACACCCGCGTTTTTTGCTCGAAATGTGTTCGAAATACGACGCAGCCAATGCGCGTTATGCAAGTTGACGCTCAAAATGCCAATGCACGTGGCCACTTGTGGTTGGTATGTAGGAAATAACGTCATTTGAACGAGACCTATTGCAACTCTGGTTTTTAACCCATTTGTCCCTGTACTGCCCTAAACTGCCCTACCTGTTACTTCCTGTACTCCCTCAAACCACCCTAGCGCTGTATGGGTGTATGGATTCCTCAGGGAATAAATACAATTAGTACAATGCAGTATAGATGTTACACGAGTTTAAATTGAAGTGAACCACCACATGAGCATTACTGTCATCCAGGATTTCTGACTACAGTGAAACGCCGCTATAACGAACATCGCGGGATCCACAGAAAATGTTTGCAACAGAAATCGTTCAGTAGAGCGATTTTTAGCTGCTGGTGCTCCGGTACTTAGAACTTCACTGGGCGTAGTTACTGAAAGACCACTTTGAACACGAGCTGACTATTGAATGATGTCATTATACAGTTTTTGAGCTTACTACCTACAGCAATGGGTGGCTTTCCCTTTTATTGGGAAGTAATAGCCACTTGTCACGTACTCTTCTGTTGACATTTTTCAACAATTTTTGGTTTTGTACACAAAACCTGAAGCCAAGGACGATGTTCGGTAAAGCCGAACGTTCGGTTTAGCGGTGTTTGGTATAGCGACGTCCCACTGCATCGACTACGACGAGTTATCCATATAAGGCTTGTTCGGTCTCCATCTCTGGCTGCTGACGTCAACAAATTCAACAACGTCGCCTGTGCGTGATGAGATGTCCTTTTTGTATTTCTCAAAGAGCCACCGGGAAACCTTGACGGTGTCGCCTGGAGGTGAAAGGTCACAGAAGGAAAATTGCATTGTGGGAGTTGTTCGTTTGAAAGATTCAATTTGAAGCCCAGTCCTGTCGTGTCATATTTATGTTGGATAAACCATCAGAGCGTGCAAGTCTCGCCAGTCCTCGTTCACTTTTTTATGTGAACGTCTTGGTGCCAAACACTGACTAGTCTAGTCACAGACTCCCGCGTTTGAATTAACCCAATTGTTATCTGCGCGACCGATTGAACGGAAGTTGAGGTCAACAATTTAAGTTTTATCGTAGTCATCAATTCGCAATATTTCCAATATGTTGTAAATTGTAATGCTTTCTTTTCTTTCGCATTACCCATTTATTGCCCTTGATTAGATGGGCCCAGTCAGGGCACAAAATAAATGCAAAAACTGATGTTACGCACGTTGTAGATCCAAAACATCGGTGCCTGGATGTGCTGTATTCTAGAAAATCTCGCAGGTTTTTGAGAGGTCAACTTGCATGCTCTATTGGTTCAACATCGGTTTTCCAAACAGAAACAGACTGACAATATTCAAACAGCCCATCCATCAATGGGGCCTCTTAGAAGTCATTTCATTAAATATGCATGGTGCTTGTGTTCTTGGGCAAGACACTTTACTACAGTTGCCTCTCACCACCCAGGAGTATGAATGGGTACCTGTGAAGGTAGAGACCAAATTGAGCTGATCTCCAGCTGCTGCAGAAAAAAATGGTCTCATGGACTGATGAACAGGGGTAATAATTGTGAAGTGCTTTGAAGCTCTTGGTATAAAGCGCTTTATCTTCAAGTAAACTTGAATCCTCAATCCTGATTGGTCGATCCATGGCAACAAGCCGTGCTACATATAACCATGTAGCACGGCCACGGTCCATACCGCACTCCGCGTATTGCGCTATTCCAAGATGCGCACGCCATTACACGCACGTGTAATAGGATAACCGCTGAAAATCTTTTTAGTGCGTCAAGTTTGCTTGAAGATAAATTCGTTATCACGCTCGCGCTCGTGGAACACGGAAAATGTAGTGCGTCTTTATCCCACATACCACTCGGCCTTCGGCTTCGTGGTATGTGGGACACAGACGCACTACATTATTCCGTGTTCCACTCGCACTCAAGGAAAACTAATAATATAAGCCAAACATTATTATTATTATAATGACATGTGCGGTTGGAACATACAGGTTGGCACTGGAGAGGCACATGTGTTGTTGAGAGCTTGCGCAGTCTGTGGGCGGAGCCTAAGCAATCAGTCAATTGTCCCTTCATCACTTCACAAAGCCAACCATCAGTGTTGTTTTTGTACTTACCAACTGGTTCCGTTGTGAAGTCAGATGTGTCAAATGTCCAGGGCATCTCTATCGTATTCAAGCAGAGTTCGTTGAATCTGGTCTGGTTCCAGACCCGATGTTCATCCATGTAAATATCCAGTTCAAATGCAAACAGGCTCCATCTTCGATGGTAATATCTGTTGGAAATCCAACAAATGTGGAGATAAGTATCTGGAATCTGTGAATGGCTTTAGAATTGTAATTTTGTGGCTGTTGTCAAATTTCGGGTTGGTGAAATAATGATCAATGCTGCTTGTGTCCTCGGGCAAGATACTTTATCACGTTTTTGAAATAATTTCCATTTCTCTCCAGCCTCGACTCCAGGAGCGCATGCTCGTTCATTACACTAACCCCTGTCTGTGATGATGACGTAAATGACGCTGAATGGCTATTCACAGCGTACTGCGCGGGCATTTCGAAGATTGCACGCCGGGCGCGCCCATAATGCGCTCGCGCTCGCGTGCTTAGCTTTGCACGTAACGTCACGTACGAAAAAAAAAATTACGATTCAAAAGTCGCGAAGCCTGTACGATATGGATTATGTCAGCCGCGTTTTTCGCTAAAAAAAACCCTGTATCTGTGGTTGTAAAGGCACGAAAGGGGTACGTACATTTAATACAAATCTTTGCTAATTAACACAACGTCGAAACGTTGTGTTTGAAAGGATTGATTCTTCAAAATCACAACTTTTAACATTTTAAAGATGGCGTCGGCACGTAAAACGGATAAACTGCAGCCCTAATTATAATGTACCGTATTTTGGTACATTTAAATTACACAATTCCAGGGGTTACGATTGCGCAAGGCATGATGGGAAACAACACGGCGCTGCAAGATCGTACCCACGGGGCACGAGGTTGATTTCTCTCCAACAATGTGCTTTGTGACTCAGTCTGCAATCTTGAAAAAGATACGACTGGAATTTCGAAAAGATATGAAAACTATTAAATGTATAGTTCCTGAAATATTTTTTATGACTTACGATTTCATGAGGCCGGCCCATTGCTTGTTGGCGTAATCATTGATTTCTGCGTGTGGTCCCCAGATAGTGATCTGGTTCCGTGCATTATAGTCCAACCATTTCTGCTCCTGTGAAGTATAAAAATCACTGCCTCAAAATTGGAGAGAAAACTAAAATGTTCGTTTGCTTGCTTTGCCTCGGTCCATACAGCTGATTCTACCACTGAACGGTTGTTAACCCAAAACAGTGTTGAATTTCTACTCATAGTTTTACTCAAGTACTTTTCCCTTTAAACACATATCCTTTTATAATCTGTTACAGCTCTGGTTTGCATGAATGGGTTTCCATGACATTTTCACTGATTTATACACAAGAGAATAATTAATATGCTCCATCAAAATGAAATACTCATGTTAGGTACTTTTTGAGAAATTTAACGATATCGGCTTGCACCATATTTTTGGTCACCCTGTATTGATAATTTACATCACCCCGACGCAAATTCTATCTCATAAATAAATAAAAACAAAATGATTGAATTGCACAACCAAGCTGGCACTCAATTGTAAGCTATGGCATAGAAGATTACAAAAAAAATTTAAGTTAAAAATTATCTTGACGAGGAAAAATCCAAACCTTGACTGAAGTGCCCAGGGCCTTGGCGGACTCTAGCCAGTTGCCTAGCAACCAATGTGAGTCGGTTGCTAGGAGCGTATCCATGTCCAGCAATACATCCAGAATCTTGGCCAGACAAGACCTGGTAAATCAGAAGTAGAATTAAAAATGCAAACCGATGAAGCAATCATTATCCAAAGGTTTTTATCCGTGTCTTTTGGCAAATTAAATCACAGAAATATTTGCTGCGCTTACCGTGCTGCTGTTTTGTTGTTTTTGTTGAATACAGTCTGGAATTCTGCATAGTATGATGCAGAGATATCTTGTAAGACTTGTCGACCGATGTCCACGAGATCATACCTGAAATGCATGACGTATTTAACAAAAGTAATTGAATAATGAAAGGTTTGCGGAAACACCATGTGCGAATAATTTCTCAACTAAGAGAATGGTTCTGAAAAGAACCAGAGGTATAAACTCGACGTTCCGGTCAGTATGCTCTGACCGTCTTCAGGAGAGTGGATACTGACGGTCAGAGCATACTGACCGGAACGTCGAGTTTATACCTCTGGTTCTTTTCAGAACCATTCTCTTAGTTGAGAAATTGTTCGCACATGGTGTTTCCGCAAACCTTTCATTATTTAGTATCTCCACCATGCAAAGCCTCAAATCTTACTTAAAAGTAATTGAAATATATTTTTTTATAATGGTAAATATGGTTCTTTCCTCACTTTTCAACTAACCCTGGTTCAACACCCCAACTGGTACGTCATTTGCATGTATTTGATCAGTTCTTACTTCATTGTATGGCTGTTTTTCTTAAATATTAAGGGCTTTTGTCTTGAAAACATGCTTTTGTCCAACCTGACAGTTGGACTACATCAAGACAGTGCTACGGCAGCAATTCTTGAAAGCAATACTACATATAAAATGGAATAACCATCATTGCGTACAACCTATTTGAGAAGGATCCCAGACTTGACCGCTTGTATTCATTACCTGTAGAGCGGACTGGTGCCCAGCTCAGCTGATGCGTTGATCATGAGTGGCCAGGCCTTAGCAACCTCCCTCCAATCATACCACATCTGAGACAAAAACAAACAAACAAACAAACACATACCAGTCGTATACATCTTGCCATGTCTTGGGAGTGTTCACCCCGTCAGTGTGACCACTCTCCAAATTTGAAAATCTCAAGATGACCGCGGTTAAATTCCCAAGATTTCCCTAGACGTATCTTAATAGCAGCACAGACCCAAATTTTATGATGCAGTCGTTAGCACAATGCAAGTGTACACTTTTTATAAGTGCATTGTGCACATAGGGTTTAAGTACAGCAAAACAACATTTTGTGCATGTGAAAACTCCCCACTCATCGGCACAAAATCCCAAGACTTTGAAACCTTTCCCTAGGCCTGAACCAAAATTCCAAAGATCTTAGGAAAAAATTTCCCAAAAGAGTGGGCAAACTGCACCTCTTGCATATTGTGGCAGATTTACAATGTTTATGCAATAATCACAGACACTTTCTTTCTAGCAAGCATTAAATGAAGTATTCTTGGAAGGTCTAGCACCAAAAGGGTGTATCAGTGTACAATTCTGTTGTGATTAAATGCACTAATACTGAACTTACATCTGGCTGACTTTTTAGCGACGGTCGCGAGACGATTGCATTGCGATTATGTTCCTTGGTATTCTCCATTGAGTTGTAGATTGTGTCCTTCAGAATCCTCCAAGCATTGTGGGATTGCTGGCTGAACTTCCCGTAGCGTCTCACAGCGTAAGAATCAATCCTGATGAAAATTAACAAATTAATCTTGTATAAATGTACCATGAATGCAACTGTAATATGGACTATGCCTCATTTGTTAACAAACTTGTTGCTGTGGTCATGTGGTGCCGACTTAAACAGGGTAGAGATTGGGGGGAAAATGAAAAAATCAACAAGATAATTGGCAAAGAGTTTAAGGGTCGCCAAAAGCCCAGAGCAACGTAGGGTCTACGGTATATAGTTGTACTTGCCTAAAGGCACCCCTTAAAATATCCATTTCTTTTGTTCTACATGTATTTGTATAGGTAAAAACCCTTTATGGTAAAACCTCAGGAATTCCAGATTTCAAAAAGAATTCTTTAAAAATCCTGAATTCAGGGAAAGTCTTGACGAATAAATCCTGACATCAGGAAAAATGCTGACCAAAAAAATCCTGAAATCGGGACAAATCTTGGGAAAAAGAATCACAAAAACACGTAAGAAAAATTCTGACAAATCTCACCCCTGCAAGCTTATAGTCAAGCCTAAATTCTCAGAACTGTGTTTATCAATTGAATATCGGTGGTTCTGAGAGTAAGAAAAGAATGAAATATCCAGACGCCACTTCAGCGGTTGTGTACAAAGTCTAGGGAGAGTCAAGAGAATGTTCTAAGTGTTTCCTAACAAAATTGGAAACAGTCCCAGAATCATGTCTTTTCAACATTTTTGCAATGACTGACCTTTATTGAGATGATATATGAACAAAAAAGAGACATCTGGATGCAACATTCTTTCGAAGAGTAATGATGTTCACAAAGATAGATGCAGAGCATAGGATCGATTCACACACAGCTAGATCAAAAGCCATTCGTTGTGAGTTTTGTTTGATGAAGCAGAAATTTCCATTCTGTCCATTACAAGTCATCTTACCACGCTGTCACATTAGCAGGCTGGGTTCGCCAGGCGAGATCATTCATGAAGGCGTACATCACGTCGTTCTGATCGATGCCTTCTGGAGTCAGACCGGTGCCCACCATGGTGGAACCAGGGAATATCCTGCCAACAAATACTGCCTAGAAAATAAACGACCAATACAAAAATCAACATTCATTCAAAATTCGGGAAATTGATGTGTGAGCAAAATGTCAAAAAAAAGACCAATGAAGCATTTGGTCCTAATTCTACTCAAAAAAATTTTGAAAAAAATTTCACGGCTGATGGGTTAAGATGTCAAGATTGCCTCGACTCGTCTCTGGACGACGTCTAAACACGCTAATGCCTCGTGCCTTTTGTACACACACACAAAGTCCGTGAAGTCCGTGGAGGCCGACCGTGTGTGCTGATCTGGAATTGGCCATTGCAAACAGCCTATTGTTGTACAATTTACGCTCCAGTGCACACCCCGGACTATTGAAACATATGAGGTTTCGACAAGAAATATCGTACAAATACTGTTGAAATGACTCTTGCGAATCAGTGTTTGTGGCGTTTGGCTATATATCAGAAGTTGGCTGGAAAATATTACCTGTTGCGAAAATCAAAATTTGGGGCAAAAATATTCCCGGCGTGAGGTGGTTCAGCGAAAAAGGTCAGGTGGATAGTGACAAAAGACTGGACACTATCGGACAATAGGTGGCACTATTCTTGGTGGCAAATATGCTGACAAACACATTATTTGTTCCTAACCTTATTGATATAATCTAGCCGGCCGTACAATCCATGGTTCCCTCCGAAGTTGTGCAGCATACACCAGATGAACGGTTGGCCGTAGTAGGAGTCGGTCCGATCGTAGACAGGGAGGATATCCGATGCTAGATCCAAAACAATCAGGCGACCCTTAAATGGACAAACAAAAATTCATAGTATTCAATCAATAATACTTACTGTAATAAAGGAATGTGTTCTTCATTAGAAAGCAGGAAGTCGTGGGTTTGAGTCCCACCAAAACAAATTGTCATGCTCTCGCACAGCACTAAGAAATATATTGCTGCTAAAATTTGATGTCTATGAAGGGCAAAACCAAATATTAAACATTTTCTACGCCGTAAACCCACCAAATGTTCAAATTTGAGGGGAAAAAATTTCTTTGGGAAAAAAAGAGTTTCTTTGCATGTTTTAGAAATGATCGCTTAAAAGTAGAATAGACCATTTGTCATTTGTGTATTTTTATTCGTTTGAAGCAACAAAAGTGCTCAAAATCTACAAACGGGTGCTTAACAACTAACCTGATGAAGTTGTAGCTCTGTGAATGCTAAATATATTGAGAAAACACAATATTCTGGTTTTCGATTTCAATTGAAAAGTTTCTGAGTCAAATTTTGAATTACGCCCTCTTGTGGCACAATCCTAAAATCAGCATTCGGGACATGATTCTCATTCAGCCGATTGTAGTTACGTGATGTCACACACTGAACCGACAAGTAAGAGTAACCATGCACGCGTCTACGTCACGTCAACGCTTGTACCCATTCACGGATTCGCACAACTACAAACGGAAATTTCCAAAACTGTGTCACTTGGCACATCTTTGGACATAACCTTCTGTTATTGTTTTCTTCAAAGTGACAGCATGCCAGAAGGAATAATTTCACAGGGAGTTTAGTGCCATTACTATCTTCAAACCAAGAAAGCTTATCAATGATAATTTTGCCAGTTACTTTTTGGATAGCTGCAAATTCTACCATTCTACCTTTAAACATCATTATTTTTCGAAGTAGACAAACCCCTACTTCATTTGAACAATTTCAAAAGTTTTCCTGGATTTCTTTTTCACCTACCAAAGGCACTGCCGTTAGGTGTGCTTTTATCTGTTCTTTGTACCAGAAACCGTTGACGGTAAACAGCCAGCCCTGCATCAGCCAGATGCCTTTAGGATCCGCAGAGATGATGGTGTCGTAAACGCCCCGGCTCGCATTGGCAAGATAACCAAGATCACTGAATGGAAAGATGAACAAGTATTAATGAAACAAAGTATGAATGACTGATTGATCCTGAGCATAGTATCCAAGGTCACTAAATGGACAAAATACCGGGTAACAGGAATAAAGTGCGAGTGGATTATTCTTTCATGAGAAACCCTTCCCTGCATTTTTTTTTAGGCCAAGACGACCTAGTGATTGCTTAGTAATTTCACCCTCTTAGTGGGAAGTCAATGTTCAGAGCAATATGTAAAAACCCGTTAAAACCCTGCAGGTCAGTGTCAGGTGAAGAGATATGAAAAGTCACAGAGCATTTCACTGTATATTTATATATATGTGTGACAATAAATTAAATGAAATGAAATTAAAGTAACAATGTCACACAGAGAGTCACTGCACAAAAAAAGCAATGTGGAATGTAGTGCAGCTTGACCGAATCTGCCTGCTTGCCCTGAGCTTAACCACTCAAAAGAATTGTGCAGGGATTTGAAGTGGTATCCATACTCCACAGAAGATTACCTCAAAGGAATTTGAAGTGTGGGCGCTAACTCTATGGTAAAAAGTATTTTGCTAAACTTCAAGAGTTGTAAAGTGCAGAAGACTAGGAGAGTTAAGCGAAGTGATTTTTTTTTTTACAGCACCCCCCCCCCTTCCCAGTCTTGAACAAAGACAGTTACTGTTTGAGAAACTACAAACACCGGGCTAGATAATTCAGTTGGAAGACCAATGATATGGACACAGTTAATTTATAACAAAAAAAGTTGTTTATCAATAGTTAACTTTAGTTTCTGACATAAGAACCTTTACTATTTACTTTGAAACAGGATTCATTTCGTTGAACAAATCAGCATTGTAGACATGATCAGTGCCATTAAACTCTGCTATCATCTGAAAAGAAAGGAAAATTGGCAAAGTTTTTTTATCTATAACTAGCACAAAAACTTTCAAACATATGTTAAATGGTGGCAAGACATACTACTAGCCTATAAACAATGGTGTCAAATTTCACAACAATGCTGTATGGGCTCCATGCGCCGACCAAAGAGGGCCCCCTTTTACCTAGCAGCGACATCCCATGGGTGGGACATTTCGCTGGTTGACGGGCACCGTTCCTTGTGTGTGACGCACGTACATGTACACCAGGGGATTTGTACTATGCACACGCAGTGGCCACGCTTCGCGACAATGAATTGCAGTCAGGCAAGATGGCGTCGGTCGGTCACCCCCAACTGTGCTTGCTTTGCCGGTGAGGGGGTACTTGTGAACGGAGCGGATACTTAGTTTGTCGGTAGTACAAAAGCCTGTATCGATTTCTTAAGGTGCAACCCGATTTCAACAACAGCAACATATATAAATTACAGACTTTCGAAAGAATATTTCAGGTAGTTTCTTACCGTTTCAATGAAAGCTTTGCCAATCGTCTTGAAAAGAGGGTCGGACGGAACCAGGTACTTAGTGCTTCACATCAAAAATGAAAAAGTGAAGAAAACAAAATCTTACAATCCATATGAATTTAATGTGCCTTTCGCCATTGAAAACTTTGACAGAAATGGATCCGTTTAAAAAATGAATTTGAGAAAACAAAGAGCGAAATCTTACTATAAAATTGTTTTTACTATAAAATTGTTGTTTTTAACTTACCAACAGTACTGCGGATCTTTGTAAAACTTGCTCCAGATGGTTCCGTTAATAATGTTGGCTTTGGGAAACAACCTAGAAAAAAATTGATAACGCTACGTAAATTATACATAGAAATTACAGTCTGTGCCTCTACAACACGTTGGTGCTCCCTGTACTTCTCTACAACATGGGTACCTGGGGCCTCGCTCAAAAACAGAACGACCAACTGGACTCATTCCTCCGAAGCCAATTACGACAGATCATTGGCATGCGGTGGCCACATCGCATATCCAACAAGGCACTCTATCCGCTCCGTTTACAAGTACCCCCTCACCGGCAAAGGAAGAACACTTGGGTGTGACCGACCGACGCCATCTTGCCTGACTGCAATTCATTTGCCGCGAAGCGCGGCCACTGCGTGTACTTAGTACAAATCCCCTGGTGTACGTGCGTCACACACAAGGAACGGTGCGCGTCAACCAGCGAAATGTCCCGCCCATGGGACGTCGTCGCTAGGTAAAAGGGCACCGTCTTTGTCGGCGCACGGAGCCCATAGTCACTGCAAGTGTGGTCCACTCAGCATCAGGACCCTTGAAGCACGCTGGCAACTCTTCGGACATGTCCTGTGGCTACCGAGAGATGCACCCACTCAGAAATTCATCGATGAGTACTTCGGCACAGAAGCAGGCATGGAAGGCTGGCTAGGACGCCCTTGTACCACACTAGCAATCATTCTTGACAACGACCTGAAGACGGTAAGCAAGTGCTTACACAACACTGCAAACTGGAAGAAGCTACATACGTACAGCTATTGACAATGGGAGAGTGGATCGCACTGATGAGGAAAATCATTGAGACGACAGAAGCAAAACTGACATAATATTTATGAAAGCAACGCACAAACTACTTCACACACAATTACAGAACTGTCGTTTTTAAAGAGATTTTTGTAAAACCGTGCTGCAACCCTCCTGCTGTAGCTAACACCATTCAGAAAAACAAACTGATTCTCAATCACAAAGATTTTAACAAAAAAAATGCAACCTACCTCACTGTGGCATTAGGGACGTGGCCAGCAAATGCAGGCAGTACGGGCGTCATGCCCAGATCTCGCATTCTCTTCAGGATTTGATGCTGTAACTGCAGCTGATTGGCGTGCCAAGATTGCGTCAGGGGTCCACCCCAGCCGTGAATATTGCCCATGCGAGCCCTGTAAGTAAACACACAAAACAAGAACAAGTCAATTTATCAAGAATATATCAATTTGTTTTCAATTGGCATGCCAAGATGGCGTCAGAGGTCCGCCCCAGCCTTGAATATTGCCCATGCGAGCCCTGTAAGTAAACACACAAAACAAGAACAAGTCAATTTATCAAGAATATATCAATTTGTTTTCAATTGGCATGCCAAGATGGCGTCAGAGGTCCGCCCCAGCCTTGAATATTGCCCATGCGAGCCCTGTAAGTAAACACACACAACAAGAACAAAAGTCAATTTATCAAGAATATATCAATTTGTTTTCAATTGGAATTCATAGTGTTGTTTGGCTATTCCTGATGAAATCTCGCATGCCCGAAATTAAACATTTGCAACGGAACGGAGCTTTAACAGCGACTACTTGTGATGAGAGCTCATAGTGTGGGAAACACCTTGTTTTAGAATTTTCAACCTCTGGATTGCCACCCCGGTGCTCTACCAACTGAGCTATGGCGATTCCTCATTTTGTCCACGTCTGTGTTCAAGATGCGCTAGTCAGAAGCCATATCTAAACATGCACTAACCATTACAGTGTTCCAATAATGTGCCTATCAATTGTCCCCCCCCCCCCCTCCGATCAATCTTGTGACCCTGTTTGCGATGAAATTGGGGTAAAAACTGTTGTGTTTTTTTTCTTTTGAATTACCCATTTACTGTCCTTGGTTGGAAGGGCCCAGTCTGGATACAAAATAAATGCAAAACAAATGGAAAGAATGTTGCAACCTGACGCTGCTTTTTTTTTCATATATCATCTCAATGAAGGTCAGTCATTGCAAAAAATGATGATAAGACATGAATCTGGGACTGAGAAACATTTCCAATTTTGTACTTAAAGGGAAAATACAACATTTGCAAACATCAAAAAATAAAACTACCAAATCATTTTGAAATACCTTGCTGGACTGTTAGTGAATGACAGTGTAAAGCATCCTGTAAAATCATGGCACCTGGTATACTATCCTTTTCAAGAAAAGTGGTATTTTTGTATCAATTTCCAATGCTGATCGGCCGACCAGCGTTGGAAAAATCTGGCTTTTTTTCAAATACTGGCCCCAATTAACCATCGCACTTGTTTGCAATCGATTACACACCTATGAACGGGTACAAGACTGGTTCCCTGACCTTACAATTCCCCAATGTATGTAAACTGCTCTGTTTCTTCTTAAATGGAGTCAGGGAACCAGACTACAGGAAAATTATTGTTTTTCTTGGTTTTTATAGCATTTTTGAACCCAAAACCTCAAAAAAGTCAGTGTAACTATATTTGCTACATATTTCCAACCCCCCAATTCCATCCATTTCTGAAAATTACAGCAAAAGCAAATGATGTATATTCCCTTTAAATACTTAAAAAATTGTCTTGACTCTCCATAGACTTTGTCCACAATCGCTGAAGTAGCGTCAGGTTGCAACATTCTTTCCCAAAAAATAGGACGTTAAACATGTTGTAGAGTTTACCCATGTGCTGTATTCTTGTAAAATCTTGCAGCTTTTTGAGGTCAACTTGCACGCTCTGGACCAACAATATCTAGTTGTAGATTGTGTCCCCAGAAACCAACCTACCATGCTAGGAAAGCAGGCCCTCCAAAGTGCGTATCCAGATCCTTCTGGGTGAAACCCATCTTGAGGTAGACCTTGTGCCAGATAGCTTCCTGGGCGTTGAATGCTAGGGGCAAGTTGATGCCATTCATGGCCATCCAATCGATCTCTCTCTCCCATCGCGTCCAGTTCCACCAGACGAAGGAGTAGCTGACGGTGCAGACGTTCTGGTAGTAACGGAATCTGACAAAAGGAAAAACCATCCAGACCACACACGGTTAGAAAACCAAATCAATTATTGTGCTCCTTAAAGCCGGAGTCCATCATTGGCAGCTATCCAAAAAGTAACTGGCGTAATTATTGTTGAAAAACATACTCGGTTGAAAGATAGTAAGGGAACTAAACTCCCTGTGAAATTATTCTTTCTGGCAAGCTGTCATTTTGAAGAAATCAACGAAAGAAGGCCTTTCTAACGGTGCGTCTTAAGAAGCACGGTTGGAAATTTCCGTTAGTTTGTTTTTTTATTTGGCGAAGCGCACGCAAGCGTTGACACGACGCACACGCGCGCGCAGTTGCTATAATTCGTCGGATCAGTGCGCAACATCGCGTAGCTGCAATCGATTCAGTAACAACGTGTCTCGTACGCCGAATTCAGGCCCACTTCAAAACATGATTCAGCAACTTTTGGTTTGAAATCGAGATCCTAGAATGTTGTTTTTCTCGAAATACATGTATACAGCTGAAGCTGAGCTGAAACTTCATCAGGTTAGTTGTTCAGCACCCGTCTTTAGATTTTGAGCACTTTTGTTGCTTCAAACGAACAAAATGCACAGATTACAAATGATGGACTTTACCTTTAACAAAAACATCTCCATTGATGCTGTCCTATAATGGCCCACGTACTTGTTTTCTCGTTCAATTGATTGTTCCCTTTTTGATCGCTATTTTGAATAATCTAACGGCTGATTTATTTGTTTGCATCGATTGGTTCATGTACTTGATGCTACCAACAGAAACTTCAACGGCCAATCATTCCAATGATAATTATACATGGATTTTTTAAAAAGATTTTTGGCTTGCAAATCTTTTGACCCACGCTCTTTTACCTTTTAAAAAGGAAAGTTTCGTTATCATTGTGATCGTTTTTTTGTTTATCAAACTGAAAAATGTAACCAATTAACCCACATTTTGATTAATTCATCAAATACATGTACTAGTTCTAGTACCTGAGGATTGACATGTTTTACACAATCACTATTAATTTTTTTAATATTTTTTGTTTATAAAAAGAGTGATCCCCATTTGAGTGATCCCCGTTTGCTATTTCCCAGGTTTACAACATTGCTAATGTTGCTAGCATTGTGACATTGGGGCGTGACATCTGGCTACATGGCATATACAGGTTTATGGCTTCTGGCTAGCGCCCCTTGAACTGAGACATTGACAAAATGGAGGAACCGCCAACATAGGGCTGGATAGCTCAGTTGGTTGAGCACCAGAACGGCAATCTGGATGTTACAGGCTCAAACCCCGTTCCAATCAATTTCCTTGTTCAACCAAAATAATATTCCCTATTCAACATACAATAAGCCATTTGCGAGTTAAATTTGAATAAAATCTGGAACGCTGGCTTAATCCAATGCCTTGCACGTTTTAACTTTGCATTCTCCCAACCAAAGTGACTGTAATTATATCACGTGATTCGGGGCAAGCCTTATGCTAGCAACCCCCAGCTCCGGCATGGTCTGGTGTCTTTGTGCCATTCTCACCCATTGTGAACAATGTATTGGTGCTGAGCGTCTCTTACGTAACTATGCAAGAGCTTGCCCCGAATCATGTGATAAGCAACAGTGTCTTTGGTCTGGAGAATTCAAAGTTAAAATGTGCCAAGCATTCTGAGCAAGTCAGTGTACCGGACGTTTTTCAAATTGAAATTCTTAAGGGTTATTAGTCACTCGCAAATGGCTTATTCTGGGCCAATTTTGAAATCTCAGCTGTATTTATGGCTTGGCTTTATATTTTTTTTGGGGGGGGGGTTGATATAATTGTCAAAAGTTTCCTGTTGGTACAAAATAAAGATACTTTCAAACTTGGCCTCACATTAGACACCCTTGTGTTCGGGTGGAAGGGTTGTGGGGGTTGGGGGAGTGAGGGAAGTGGAGGGGGGGGGGGGGGGGAGGGGGCTGGATGGGGGAGGGGAGTTGTAAGTTATACAAAGGTAATAACCTGTTCACCTGTTTGGACTTGTGATCTTCAGCGCCGGTTGGACCTTGGGCAAAGTCGACGGGACATTTAACTGGTTCCCTGCCCACGAAATATGACATCCACAGTAATGCTTCAAGTAATGATAGAAGCCCCATGCTGCCGCTACTCCTGTAGTACCAGTGATGTTGACCTTGTTATTGCTGGACTCAATCTAAGATCAGAGAAGAAACACTCATCGTTGTTTATCATGGAGGGGCATGTATAATCCTTAAAGGGCCCATGAAATGTATTTTTTTTTAATGCAATTCTTGAAAATGCATCTTTATGACCCATCTAACATTATTTTCATTTCAAGGGTATTTTGGTGCTTTTTTTTACTTTTTATTACTAATGCGAATTCCAATATTCATGAGCAAAAGTGTGATGTCATATCAGGCAGAAACCTCAGTGTTGCAATTGGTTTGTGCACAAAAAGTTGCCAGAATTTTGGATATTTCGCTGTCGTAAACTTTCTTTTATTTTAGTGATTCGTTGTTGGGTCAGTTCATGGCAGTAAGCCAATGAGCAAAATTTTCTCACAAATGTTTTCAATGAGCAAATTTTGGGTTCACAGTTTCAATAGAAAACATAAAAATATGAACAGGGTCTTTAATACTGAAGTGACTCACGGCAACAGCGCCCTCAGTTGTCTGGAAAAGCATGGACAATTTTAAATGTTTAAGGAAGTGCACTTTTCAGTAAAAATTAACCAAAAAGGGATGTCAATTAGTCTTCATACACTTTAAGAGGATTAGAAAGTAGCACAAAATAAGTTCCTAAGAAATATTCACTTCAAGAGCCCTTTAAGCCGCCCTCAGGTCGATCTGCAAAAAATGGGTACGTGGGTACCCATCATAGAAACCAAACCCCAAAATTCAAATCTCGGAAATTGATGTTCAAACTGTTTACCAAAGTCTGCATGATAATACCACCGAATCAGTGCGTCAATACTTTAAAGCTTAGGCCAAGTTCGGGCAAGAACCATTAGTCGACTAGTGGTTGATTTGTGACGTACCTTACGCCTGCGCACTAATAGCAACGTGCGAACGTCTCTAGTCAAACGCTGGTCAAAATGCCGTCGCAAAACGTCTGGATCCTGGCTCCCTGCTTGCGTTATGAATGCGCGCGGCTATTGGTTACCAGCGAAGCAACCAACCCCAGTAGGCTGGTTCCAAATAGTCGACTAGCGTAGTCAACCACCGTCGACTAGACAGAGTTCGGGCAAACGTTAGTTAACCATTGGTCAACTATAGTCCTTGCGCGAACTTGGCCTTTACCGTGTAAACTGCAACTTTCACGAGCCTCATAAACGTGAAATATGTTTTGTTTTTCCATGTAGCCTGGTTTTCATTGTGAAAATTCCCCACAAATGACATTCAAAACCTTTCTCTTTCATTGTCTGAGAAGTCACTAAGTAATTTGTAAAGTTGGTTGCAGGTACCTAATCCCATAATCTGGAACCGGTTACTGACATCAGCGGTCGGGTACTTCGGTCCGATGCACAGCCCTATTTACCTGGAATGTGTCAAGTCTTGGTGGCCCTAGTGATGGGTTGACCACCACGGTGAACGCTGCTGCTCGTTCAGGGATAAGTCTTCTGATCAGAGCAGTCACAGCAGCCGCCTGGTCATCGGGTCTCGTCTTGGTCTTGATGTGATCTAAAGATTTAAACTCTTCATGGGTGGAAAATAAAAGTGATAAGTATATTTATACAGACTTTGTTTATATTGGTTGGAAAGATTTCCATATACGAAGTTCACTCAACACCCCGTGTACAAACCCTATGAGATTGGACTGACAAATTCTAAGTGTTTTCTAAGAAAATGCTTGTATTTTCTCACTGCTCAAATTGACTTTGATGACATGAAATTGCTATCTGGGGGCTTGTTAGTCAATACAGAGGAAAATTAGTGAACTTCGTATATGGAAATCTTTCCTATTGGTTATACAGGCATGCAACTTGGAATTCACAAAAAAAGAGAAAACTCCAATCTACACAAGACTTTGTACAGTGTTTTTAATTTTTTAATGGCATAAGCGTGAATATTGGTTATTTATAAGGCAATTCCTCAGATGAAAATTGTTGATTTCGATCCTGAAAATTGACAAATGAAATTACGTACCTATTGCACTGATATGCACAGCAAATACTGTAATGATGGACACTATGGTGGATAGATGACGCATGCTGATAGCACTTGACAAAATCCAAACTGGTTGAATTCTTCAATCTGTGCAAGAATCATAGACAATTGAAGGTGGCTCTAAATGTTAATTATGTTATGCAGAATATTAGCAACTTATGTCTTTCTTTACCCAGACCCCAGAGCCCTCTCCAGCAATTTCATAATCAATTAGGAATGAATATTTGGCCAAAGCTTGTTTCCTTTTCTTTGACTGGCTCATTATAATTAGGCGAAAAGAATGTTGCAACCTGACACCATTTTTGTCTTCATAAAATCATCTCAATCAGTCAATGAAGGTTCTTCATTGCGAAAATGGTAATAAGACGTAAATCTGGGACAGAGAAACATTTCCAATTTTGTTAGGAAATACTTAGAAAATTTCGTCACTCTCCATCATGTCCTGTGTCCATAGACTTTGTAGTGTATATACACAACCGCTGAGGTAGTGTCGGGTTGCAACATTCTTTCCAATTAGGCAAGGACTGTCCAGGCCTACATGTAAGTCATATTTGTTTGTTTCGCCCGAGCTTTAGCAGGCCTAAATGCTACTTTGCCGGAAAAATCAAGAACGATCTCACTCTCTCAATATCATACGCTATGCGCTAGGCAGTGCCAGTTTTTCTGAAGTGGTCGAATACTCCCCCCTTTTAACTAGTAAATAGTAGGCCTACTACATGTAGGCCTATCCATTTTCTTTTTCTGATTCATGGCTCTAGAGGATTTTCTTTAATTAAAGGGAAATTAAGTCCAAACTGTAAAATGATCTGACCCCCATCTCGTTAAAACGAAGTCACAAGGACAATGACTTTTTGGCGCGGAACCAGACTAAGTTTGTCACGGTAAAAATGGCTACTACTAGTCCCCCAAATTAAAGTCACTGCGCATGTTGAGTGCTTTGCCGGTAAAATATAGTTTACTTAAAGTTTATCTGGCGCCGGCTAAATATACACTGCCAAATGTGTTGTGCAATCTATTCTAGCAGTAGCAGGTTAAAATCGTTTAAAACTTGAAAGAAAGCCGGCACTCCCAATTTTATTTTCCACACGTTTTTTTTTTCTCAAGTCAAGTCAAACAAAGTTGTCAAACTTCTTCTGTAAACATGGTGAAGGGCAGACAGGGCTCTGGAGTGCTCTGAAACATGCAAAACTAAATCAGGCCCACTTTACTCACAGTTTAGCCAGCAAATTTCTCCAAAAATTCCACTGGGGCAAAGAAAATGTCCTCAGTATTTCACCAACCAAGTTTGCAGACTCAATTCAATTTTAAAGGAGACTTTTCTTCAATATTTTGCACATGAGAGGGAAGTCAAGTGATTTCAAAATGGGGCTTAATACTAGACTAGTACATGTCCATCCATGGTCCAACTATTTGGAAAGACTGACCTCTTCATTCAGTGTCAATAGTCTGCATGGTCTGGTGGCTTTGTCACGCCCCAACTATCGCATCGGTCCCAACTATAGTTGGGCCTGTCCCAACTATAGTTGGGCCTGTCCCAACTGTAGTTCCACAGTTGGGCTGGCCCAACTATAGTTGGGCCTGTCCCAACTATAGTTGGGACGGTCCCAACTGTAAGTTCCACTGTTGGGCTGGCCCATCTATAGTTGGGCCACTCCGATCTTTTTATTTTGCTGTGTCCCAACTATAGTTGACATTGATGTACAACTGTAAAACGTTCCCTACAGCTCTGATACACGTCTGACTTTACTGGGGACCACTGAAATTAGTTATTGATGGGGCGAATCTATAGTTGGGCCACTCCAATCTTTTTATTTTGCGGTCCCAACTATAGTGTACATTGTTGTACGATTATAAAACATCCCCTACAACTCTAATACACATCTGACTTTACTTGGGACCAATGAAATTATCTATGGGTGGGGACCATCTGTAGTTGGGCCACCGCAATATTTTTATTTGGCGGTCCCAACTATAGTTTACATTGATGTACGACTATAAAACATTCCCTACAGCTCCATGGGCGTCGCGAGGGGGGGGGGCAAGGGGGGGCACTTGCCCCCCCCCCCCCCCCCCCCTGGAAAAGCCAAAAAAGAAAAAAAAAAAAAAAGGAAGAAAAAAAAGAAAAGAAAAGAAAAGAAAAAGAGGCGCGAAGACAAAGTGGTGTAAATTTAATGAGTTGGGGGGGGGGGGGGGGAATGTCCCTGCCCCCCTCTAAAACTGAGAAATCGAGAATGTGTTGAGAAATACAAGCATTTTTTGGCAAAATTTTTTTTTGCCCCCCTCTAGAAAAAGTCCTGGCGACGCCCATGTACAGCTCTGTTACATACTGTCCGACTTTACTTGGGACCTTTGACATTAGCTATGGGTGGGGCCCATCTATAGTTGGCCGGCCATGGCAATCTTTGAATTTTGCAAAATGTTGCTGGACAATAAAACCCAGCAGCAGCTGGACAACTCATCCAACTAGGCAGTACCACGTGACCGGCCAGCCTTGCGGCATGCATGCACGACGAATACACGGTGCCAGCGCCGCGGAACATTTAATCCAACAAGATCTATCAAGCATGAAGCATCCGGCGCAACTCCAGTCCTAACTATAGTTGGGCCGACCCAACTGCCGCACTATAGTTGGGACAGTCCCAACTATAGTTGGGACCGATGCGATAGTTGGGGCGTGACAGCTTGACTATGGAGAAATGTGTAATAAATTGAGACTAGTTCCTGCTTCATGCCACATGTTTCTGAAATTCTTTTGGCATGGTTGATTGATGCAGTACTGAAGCTGTGTTGGACTAGTTGTTTTAGGTGCCAGTCTATTTTCTTGTTTTGCATGTTTTCAATACCTTAAATTTTGGGACTCTCATCATACACAGTATTGAGAGTCCCAAATTTTCGGACTAGGTGAAGGGATAGGGAATGGACTCCAGATTTGGGTCCCATTTTTGGCGCATGGGCTGCCTGACCAATGTAGTAATTATTGAGATGGTTTTCATTTTGTAGCCGTATCTCATCTGTTCTATTGAAAATTAACAATCTGCATAAATAACAAAATAACCTGGACCAAAAAACCAAACCTATTTGCCGCACCAACCACCGTTGTTCTGTTCTGAAACTTCCGTCACGTCACATAGCGCCCTCTGTTGACACAATAACTACACGTTCGAAAATAAAACCTCGATTATTTTAGAGCGTATAGTTGATCTTTTTTATTTAAAACGTGTACTTGATGTTTTAATTAAGAACATGTACGTCATTTTAACCATGTTATGTTTAACCCTGTCACTTGCCACCCACTGTTGCCACCTCTATCAACCTTTCCTCCATAATTGAGGCCCAAACGAAAGGGCAGGGCTAGGGGAAGGGGGGGGGGTATTTTTTTTCTTCACTTAAAAAAGGGCTTTACTTTTTCACTCAAAAAGGGGTGAAGACTACATCCCCTAGTGTTGCCACATTGACCCTGAGACATTCGAAACCATTCACTAAACGCTTAATTCCTTTATTATTAAAGTACACAAGTAACTGAACACAAGAAGCATTGGTAAAACTTTCAAAGTGTGACCATGATTTAATAGTTTGCAAATAAGGACATGCATAAATATTTATAAACATTAACTTGGTATTGATTCTTACTTTCAAGTTTGGTCAAATCTTGTTTACCTTTACAATAATATATAATATATACGCCAACGTATTTCAACAAAAGTAAAATATAACAAAAGTAGCCTGATATTTTTAGCATGATTTTCTAACAAGAAAGAGACTTGAAATTGTTACTTAAAAAATAGAAAGGATTGGGGGTTTTTTGGGGGTTTTTTGGCAAAAGAAAATAATTGGAGAACGTCCAAAGATTTTCTGTGACACTTAAGATCAATGTTGGCAAGAAACAAATAGACGGTAACATTTCAAAATGTTTTTTGAAGTTGAAAAATACCACAAAAAGGTGAGCGCCTTTGGTTTGAAAAATTTCAACAAGGAATCACTGAGCCAGAAGTAATGGTATATTTGCAAGCAATTATTTTCACAAAACCAGAGAATCTCAACGATATTTTACTGTTCAACAGTGTAGTCCAACATTGTGAGGTTTAAATACTTTTTAATATATTATCTCTGAACAAAATATGACCGTGTATTATAAATACAGCACTACTTATGTCTTTACATTAAGTTATGGTTAATCAAAAACTGTTAGCTCAAAAGTTAGAACTTTTAAAATTTGAGGTTAATACAGAAGAAAAAAGGTCCGTATTCCTTGTTAACAATGAGAGATTATCCAATTAAATTGAAAATGTAATGTCACAAAACAAGGGCTTTTGAAGTGGTCTTGATGTGATAGTCACAAAGTGGGAGTTTAATTAAACATAATCAAAACTTTTGATCATTTTCATTCTTTCACAAATACAGGCAATTAATTATACACATATATTTACATAAAGTAAAGTTTTAGTAGTATTGACACAATTATGTACATGTTTGTGTGCAAGAAGAATTCTCAACAAAAAGTGCAGGTACTTAACAAATCGGTGGTGGTTAAAGTAGAGGAAAAAATAAGCACTCCACTTTCTAATTTTGACACATTCTGTGCCAAGTCGTCCTTGCAGTCAAAATCAATCAAGTAACTGTTTTCAACAGTTAGGAGCTCCCAGCCTACATAAAGCAGGATTGACTGGCTGTGACTGTTTAGGCAACTTGATACAGTTATGCTTTGACTGTAGGTGATTGATAAGCCAGCTGTGCCTACCACTTGCCTACTCTTGTCTGTTGACTGTTTTGACTAGTCACAATTGCTTGAAATATGATCTGACTGTTGGTGAATAGCCTGTATAAAAGGCATAGCACGGAAGTGGATTGATCTTTTGACTGTCTGTGACTGTTCAGATAGCAGGAGGGTTAAACTCAAACAAGATCTAAAAAAGGGAAAAAACGACTGTCGGTTTCAACATCACAATCTGTTCAGAAGCATAACAAATAACATCTTTATATACATGGTATCACATAAATCTGCTTATCTATCTCCAGTACAAAAAAAAAAGGGAACAAAATATGCATATATCAAAAATAAAACGTTTCTACAGTGTTTACCCATGTTTACAATATTATGACTTAGAATACATCACTGGTCATCAGTAATTACATAGAATGAATACATGAATGCATTTAATCCTACTGCTTTTCTAATTTCTTGTCCATGTGCTCTGTAACTATTTTAGACTTGACTCAAGTCATCAATTCTCCTTAGTCCATAGCCAATGTGCAATAAAATTGCATGCGGCACACTGACCATAGACAAAATAACATCTTGAATCAAGCCTATAGCAGTGCCAGCTTTTTAAGCTCTAACATGCAAGCCACGTAAACATTTAAAGCAAAGAATCATAATATTTTTATCTTGTTAATTATATTGCTAAAGAAAACAAGAATACCATTAGTGCTTTGAATTATAACAGCAGCAACCGGGAACTTCCCTGGATTTATATACAGGTCCAATTTAGTGTTAAAATTATCTTAGCTTCTCTTCATATTTTAATTTTTTAGAGACCGCAATTTATAAAATGCAAAAGGTAGAGAGAATGCAATATTCAGATTTCTCTTTTCAAAACGGGACTTAAAGGGAATATACATCATTTGCTTTTGCTGTAATTTTCAGAAATGGATGGAATTGGGGGGTTGGAAATATATAGCTATTATAGTTACACTGACTTTTTTGAGGTTTTGGGTTCAAAAATGCTATAAAAACCAAGAAAAACAATCATTTTCCTGTAGTCTGGTTCCCTGACTCCATTTAAGAAGAAACAGAGCAGTTTACATACATTGGGGAATTGTAAGGTCAGGGAACCAGTCTAGCTGGCTTGTACCCGTTCATAGGTGTGTAATCGAGTGCAAACAAGTGCGATGGTCAATTGGGTCCAGTATTTGAAAAAAGCCAGTTTTTTCCAACGCTGATCGGCCGATCAGCGTTGGAAATTGATACAAAAATACCACTTTTCTTGAAAATGACAGTACCAGGTGCCATGATTTTACAGGATGCTTTACACTGTCATTCACTAACAGTCCAGCAAGGTATTTCAAAATGATTTGGTAGTTTTATTTTTTGATGTTTGCAAATGTTGTATTTTCCCTTTAAGCAGAGTGTCGAGTTAAGCAGGGTTGTATATCATTGTTATACTACTGAAGGGAATGGATTCTTTGTTTGACTTAACAGTTGTTTTGAGTTATCAGAGTTTGACTTACGGAAACTCCACTGTATATTGCATTCTCTCTCACAAATAGCAAACACTGACAGAGTTGGCAAGCATTATGACATCATTAACGACGTGATCGAGGAAAAAGAATAACTTAAACTTGTTTCATATTTTGAATCTTGACAAGTTACATGTAACTTCAAGTTCAACGGCTGAAAGTTTGCAGCAAACACAGTTTAGCATTTGGTATCCAACAATACACCAAAAATAATAAATAGATTTTAAAAATAGTTTTGTTGGATCCATATTTCCTGGATCAAGTCAATGTTTTTACTTTGTCTCGAACTAATAAAATATTTAACAACTTTCTATTAATAACTACATGGGTTTAACAGGATCACCCCATCATGATTTCACACACTTTCATTTCACAATGGGGTGGGAAAGAATAACAAGATCATCAGATGATTGTTTGTAAATACATTTTTTTTTCAAACAACAGTGTGTTTTTGGTATATATAAAGAGTTTGTTTTCAAAATGCGACAAACATCCTTTTGTTACCTTTTAGAATAGCGCCCTCTTCTGGTTGACCAAAGCCAGTTTCGACAGCTGTTATTACATGTATATGTTTATGTAATAAAACACAGTTTAGGAATACAATAAAGCAAAAAATTGTTGTTTAAACAGCTGTTGTGCCGTGAATGCTTGATAAATTTTCAACACTGCGCATCTTTTCCACCTTATTTTCCAAACGTATATATTGCATTTTCGAAATAAACTCTTCAGTTCTGAATTAAGCAAAACATGATCACAAACTATTAAAATGAGCCTCCACGTTATTTCTTTTTTTCATGGCTAACACTCTACAACGTTGCATTTTTGGGGGAAAAAAGGAAAATCACGTTAAGTAAAAGTAAAATGTCACCATCATTTTGAGGATATGTTTCTATTAGCTGTAAAAATGATTAATCTTTCCGAAAAAAATTAATTTTAAAGCAAAGACAAAAGTGACTAAACGTGTTCCAAAACGACAAAACATACAACTCATTTGTTGCATTTCAGTTCACATCGACTGAAAATGCTCAAAATATTTGGCAAGAGAACTATACAGAAAAGTACAATTATATACAACCAGTGAGTTTTCCTGACGATACAAAATACAAATTAAAGAGCGTTAGGAGGGAAAAATGGATTACAAAACAAAATTTCCGATATCAGAAAGTTGACCAATCATACAAAGTGTAGATGCATTGTAGTTGCTCTTTGGAAGTAGAAAAGGAAGATGAGTGAACACGAAATAATTATCAATTAACACATCGATAATCGATATTTGTTAGTAAGAGAAGGCTATTGATAAAATATCACCAGAGGTGGGTTACATAATCAGAAGACAGAATTGCAGTAAGTGTAAATTTTACTCTATTATCGTTTATTAGGGTGTAAAGGACTGTACAACATTTGCTTTTGCTGCAATTTTCAGAAATAAATGGATTTGGAGGTTAAGTATGTTATAGAAAATATTGTTAAAACTGAATTGTTTCACGTTTTGGGCTTGTAGATGCTGGAAAAACCAAGAAAACCTATCATGTTTTTGTAGTCTGGTTCTCTGACCCCACTTAAGATGAAACAGAGCAATTGATACACTTTGGGGAATTGTAACGTCAGAGAATCAGTCTAGCAGGCTTGTACCCCTTCACAGGTGTTATCAATTGCAAAGAAAAGTCAGAATAACTAAATATGAAAGCCAGTTCTCTCCAACACTGGTCGGCCGACCAGCGTTGGAAAAATACAGTTTTTCTCGAAAATGTCAGCACACCAGGAGCCACGATTTTTAAGGATGCTTTAGACTGTCAGTCCCTAACAATTCAGTAAGAAATTTTGTGATAATGTGATCATTTCATGTTTAGATGTTTGCAAATGTTGTATCTTCCCTTTATTTTTGACGTTTTATAAAATGCCTGCTGGTACTTTTTCCAAAGGTCAATAATTTTCAGAAATTGTTCTGGTCCATGACTGTCCAAGGCCCAATTTCACGGCGCTGCTTAACAGTTAGCAGAAAAGTTGTGTTTAGCATAGCAGAAAAATGTGCTAACCTTAAGCACTATTTCACGGCGTGGACATGCTACGGCGGTCGCGCGTGCATGGTGATTTCTATTGTTACCTCACCAAGTTAAGCAAATTTTTCATCGAAAGTAAGCGTGCCTTTTGCTGCGCTTATGCTTACTGTCTACATGAAATAGATAGATGAAGGCTCTGTTAGCAGAAAATCGTGTGCTTAGCAGCGCCGTGAAATTGGGCCCGGTTGTGTTGAGGAAGGTATGTTTGAATTCACTGTTTTTGTTTTCTTTTTGTTTGCTCTAGACTTTGTTTTTTTCCCTCCCTTTCTTTCAAATCAACCTATTTAAATACCGTAGGTATAGATAATACCTCAAAGTACCGAGCTTTCCTGTGGACTAGCCGGAGGCAACTCTGACTGCAGCACATAGTCCATACATCCAGCGTCAGTCTTACTACGTGGACTAATCAATGGTGAAGAGATATGTGAAGCGTTGGCCCTCGGTGAGCAACTGCCGCCGATGACATCGATGTAATCGTCGCTATCGGTGGAGGATAACTTTGGGAGCAGCGGACTCACTTCTCTGGGAGCGGTGGAGCTGTTGGGAGTTTGCGGTGAGAGGGCCGTGGCTACGATGATCTCCTGCGGCGCTTTGAACGCTCCGGCGGCGTGGATGTCTGGTATATCCTTGCTGTTGTTGTTGAAGCCCAGATCGGTGCGGAAGCCGTTGATCCAGTCGGGGTCCAGGTCGCCGTCATGCGAGTCGGACTTCTCCGGAGTCGACTCCGAAGGCCAGACCGACTCGTATGGCGGTGTCTGGACCGAGACTGCACCATGCATGGCCATTTGACTGTAGTTGGTGTCGGATTCCTCCCCCGGATCCTGTCTCCTGGATTCTTTCGGAGACGTCAACGGCAGTTGATTAGCTCCCAACTGGAGATAGGTCATACTGCCGGATTCACTGCCTGAGGAGAATCGATGCGGTGAAGCTGAGGATCCTGACCTGCCCGCCGTAGATTCACGTCTGGAGGTGTACTGGACGCCTCTCCCGTCATCCATGGGTATATGGACCGACGCCGGACTAGCTGGTGGACTAGTTGGCGTCTGCGTCTGGTAGCTGTTCACAGGACCAACGATGTCATCGCCATCTTCAGGACAACTGAAGACAGGAACCTCGTCTTCATGGTGCTCTTCCGTCGGGGACAGCACTCGCTGTCCCCGCTCGACGTCCAGCTCCGAATGACCGTTGGGCCTCCGATGGTCACTCCCGAAGGCCACATTGTAGTGCTCGGCGTCAGACTGCATATCGTGGAATCCCTGATCGCTTGACCCCGAGCTGGAACTCAGGCTGCTCTTGTTGGACGTGACATTTGACCTTTGGCCCACCAGCTCGTGGACCGATTCGCTGGTCTTCAGGACGTCAAAGTATTCTTTTTCTTGAGGGCGGGTTGGAAAGCGACTCGTGAATTTGTCACTCTGCAAAAATAAAGATAAAAGCTGTCAAATGAGAAATTTGCATTTTAGAACTGACAATTCTAAGCCTTTTGCATATGTGTGACTTTTTTCTATCACGTTCATATTTATACTTCCTTTTTCCCATACATTGATAATAAGCCTTTGCCACACAAAACCATGCCAGCCTGCCGTGACATTTCACAGCAATTTAATGGTTGCTGGATATACCATTGAAATACCCTCATCAGTAACAATTTCTTAATTTTCAACACTAAAGTGGCCATTCAGAATAGTCAAATGTTCAAATTGTGGGTGGGCGGAGATAACTGAAAATCGAACTTCAGTTTGCAATTAAAGTAACAGAAAAAAATAATACAAAAAAGGGGGGAAAAAATTTAAATACCCGGCCTCTTCGAGATCGTCTGTCATGTCTGTCATTGGACACAGCAAAAGCTAATCATAACAAACCTGAAATAAACCATTCTTTTTAAACTATAGTGTCTTAGAAAACTGAAAACGTCGTACAAAGTTTGGTGCGCTTGGCAATTTTCGTCTGTTTCAATTATTGCATGCTGGAAGCCTGGAAAAGCTATTGAAAACTCCTGAGCTGGGAGAGCATTGTCTTAAACTATCTGCTTCATTTGAAGCATTACTTTGTTCTTCGACTAGGATATATTGAACAATCATTCAGAATTTCGAAAATTCAAAATTTGGGGTGGGCGGGTGGGTCAAAACAATTTCGAAAAAAGATTGAAATTTTTTAACATTGACTATTCTAGAGATTATTTTTTTAAAAACAAATCAATATTAGATTTTGCCCGTCACCGACATATCAACACTGTATACTCAGTGTGTGACCTCCCGAGTGAAAGTTGGAAAAAAAATCACTCGGGTGAGACTCGAACCCACGACCTCCTGCTTTCTAGTGCAGTACGTCTTACCACTCGACCACCGAGCTAACGGGATCGGTTGGCTGGTTCGAATCTGATGTATATAACAGCTGGTTCCGCATTTAGCTATTCGTAAGATGGAATTTTCAAATGCTTACTGAGTGTTCTAGGATGCCATCTATGAAGCGAGGGCCAGGAGAGGGTTTCATGAGAGAAGACTGACGAAAGGTGTACAGGCAGAAGATGAGACACAGGATGGAGAATGCGCTGATGAGGACGCCTATCATGATGGAGGTAACTGAACGGAAACGGCAAAAGAAATGGAAAAATAAATTATCAAACAGGACCACTGAGGAGTACTATGGACAAAATTGTGTTTCGTGATCAAAAGGTTGTGCATGATTTTTCACTGTTTTCTCGAAAAGTGTCATATCCACTGAGCTGAAACTTCAACAGGTTAGGTTTTGAACAGTTGTTTTTGGATTTGGTGTGGTGTCATTAGGCCCCGTGGATTAATTCCGATTTGCGTGCGCCCCCGTGCGCACGCGTGCGCATGCAGGCAAGCTCGAACAAAGGAGATTTTGAACCCACTGGCCCGCATCGGCACGCTTCGGCACGCATTGGCACGGACTTGCTCGCAGTGGCACGCAAACGGGCTCAGTGCCAGGCGGTACAACATTACAAACAAACCGCAGAAATGCACAATAGACATCGTCTTGGACTTTAGCCATTGTGTCCCTTAATCCGCTCATTAGTTGGTTGTAAACACTTGGCAGGGCCAGAAAGTGACTCATCTACTCTGGTGGTACCAATAATTACACGCATTCCAAAAAGACGAAATGATAAAAGTGCCCAGGAAAGGACAGGAAATGCCCCAAACATTACCGCGTGAGCCGGTACTTTCATTTAAAACACCGTGTAGAATTAAAATCTACTTGAAAAATCGAACTGTCTTTATCATAACTTTATAAATAAAAAGGTTACGGACTGGTACACTCGTTCCCAGAACTACGTGCAGACTTTTATTGAAACAGTGGTATCAAAAGAAATTATTAAAAGCTTGCCGCACCTTGCCGCAAAGAATTTTTAAAGGTCGGGGTACAGAAGCGAAATGAGAGAATTTTGTAAACGGCGAGACGCAGCCAGACTGGTCTACAACCGCATGTTATTGTACGCTGATGGAAGTGGTGTCAGACTTACATGTAGTCTGGCTGGCGGTATTTAACAGTAATAACGTGTGCACGCATGTTCCGTGTTGTGTGGAGCGGGATCGGCCATTGCCAGACGTTGTCTGACACGCGGTGGTGGTATTTATAAACAGGGATAATGCGTGGACACATATTCCGTGTGCTGCGTTGTGCTGGGTGGGATCGGAACTATACTTTTGGTAGATTGAGTGGCGGGGTATTCTGCAATTGTGCCAAAAAAAATCAGGGCTGCGTGGAAATCGGGGCGGGAGGTGATAAACACCGGATTAACTAAATGGCCGGAAAGATTCCTATATCTGGTAATCATTTGTCACCCTGTGCACAAACCCTACGGGACTGCAGGTCTGAAAATTTCTAAGTGTTTTCTCAATTCAAAACTTGTCCCTGCAAATTTAGATTTTTTAGGACATATATAGTATCACTTTTTGATGGCTGATAGGTCATTAAAAGGGAAAAATTACTGATGGCCAGATATGGGAATCTTTTCATATTTGGCTCTAGAAGTTGTTGGAAATTTCAGCGTCAAGTTTCGTGGAATATGGTGCATCACTTCACTTTTTGGGGACCAAAAGCAAAACTTCACTAATGTGCTTATTAACAGCACTAAGTGCCCTAAAAATTTCATATTTTGCCACACAATTTGAAATTCACATATCAATGACTTTATTAAAAAGGTATCATGCACATGTACGATCAATGAAAAGAACAAATATTTCTTCACAAGCCCATAGGAAGATTATAAACATAAATACACATGTATAAATGTATAATTTGTTTTTGTGTAATATAAAATTTGAACATGAACAGTGAATATTTGAGAATAAAAAAAAAAAAAATCGTACATACGTTAGATACTGTGTTCCCTTTTTAACTTTAGTTAAATTTAGTTTACAATTTGACTTGAACAATATCAGTCCAATCTCTTCCCATCTGATCTTAATACTAATATTAGCCATTTTTTTCTCAACAAAGCAAATAATTAATAAGTTTTTTTTTCGTTGCAGTATGCGCCACCAATTTTTTTTTTTTTGAAAAACTTGTCCAGTTCACCAAAAGAATCATACTGCTCAACTTCACTAGTTCAGTTCGTTTACCATACAGTGCAGCTGTAAATACAGTAGTTTGTGTACAACATACTTTTGTACAGGAGGCAATCAGGCATCTTTATTGTCCATAAATATTCTCCAGTTCGGCATCGGCCTCATCATGCTCATTGAGCTCGGGAAAATAACGCGCCGTGCAACCATAATATATATTACGATTATACCATAATATTCCTCCCATTCCACGCTAAGCCACTCAATATTTGTATACTATATCACCGAGCTCATGAATAATATACACTCAAAATATTCTAAGAAAAAAACCAAACGCAACCGTACTCCGTAGGCGCGCGCCAGGCATGATTCGGACTCTGCCATAGGGCGCCGCCATCTTGAATTGCGCCCTCAGTCATTCTTTAGATCGCACCGTAAAAATTCGTGAAATTATACCCCCCAAAATAGGCGGCCCAGTTTCGAATTTCCTTAATACACGGGAGGGGGGGGGGGGGATTTCTGTGTTTTTGTTTTTGTTTTCAATACTGTCAGATCCATTTTTGTTGATTGGTAAATATGACATATGTTAATGTTGCTGCTGTCATACGGACGTTCACGTCCACTCGCTGTAGCCTACATATTTTGTGACCGATTTCCTGGAGCTTGACTACTCTTGATTTTGCCGGGCCGGCACTGGGAACGTGAATAATACTTTTTTGGGGCCGGCGACGAATCATGTCTCCATGACAGTCTCACGATCTTTACGCAGTTTGCTTGTTAATTATGTAAATGTGAGTCACAGTCTTTGATTGATTGGAGTATCAACTTCATAAACATAAACACACCTGATACATGTATTTACTTTTGAAATTTGGCATCCGCGCGGCCAGGGTACCGGAATGTCGTCAGTGCAAATTTTACTTGGGTCGGTGCAATTCAAAATTGAAAATTTGAGAGCACATAACATTTTTTTTTATGTCAATGAGAAAATGGATACAACAGTTACAATGAAACGAACAAAACATTCAACTTCAATTGTGCATGCATGGGCCTACAGCAAATAAAATACCGATCGCCATTGCAACAAAAAAATCAACTTGACTCTCAATGGGCGCGGCCCCAATTATGAGGCCTATTACTTTATCAACATATCATGACGATACGTACGTGTAGGCCTATGATTGATGTACAGCAGTGCCTATCATGACTTTTGATCGGAGGACTATAAAGTTGAATGATGAAAATGAACTCGATGATGTGTATTCTTTCTCTTTCAATAATTGGTGTTTAACTTGAATAATGGAGTGGAACTTTCTTAAAAATGCAGATTAATATAAATTAAGAATAATGGCATAAATAAAGCAGTCTTCAAATTAGGTTTTGCCCTTCACCGACGTTTTTAAACACTGTATACTCAGTGTGTTACCTCCCGAGTGAAAGTTGGAAAAAATCACTCGGGTGAGACTCGAACCCACGACCTCCTGCTTTCTAGTGCAGATGCTATGTACATCAGATTCGAACCGGCCAACCGATCCCGTTAGCTCAGTGGTCGAGTGGTAAGACATCTGCACTAGAAAGCAGGAGGTCGTGGGTTCGAGTCTCACCCGAGTGATTTTTTCCAACTTTCACTCGGGAGGTAACACACTGAGTATACAGTGTTTAAAAACGTCGGTGAAGGGCAAAACCTAATTTGACTTATATCACCCCGACGCAAAATTCCATCTTATAAAGCAGTCTTTCAACTGACGTTCATATTTACAGTAAGAACGGTCGGTGTCTTTCAGTTAAAACCGAAGCTCTCAACGAAAAATAACAAGAAATATAATATGTCCGGAGCTCAATTAAACGACGCAAAAAAAGCTATGAAAATAGCCTAGCCTTACGTACGTAAAGTGCAGTACATGTACATGTCACGTATCATAAAAGAGTAATCCAGACACCATGCATTGTGGCACTGCCATGCACCAACGTCTTTTATGTCATTGGAACTCCAGCCCTTTCATCGCAAACCTTTCATTATTTATCACAACCTCTTTGTCTGGTGCCGCCTTGGCCGGCTACCCAATTTCTTTTGTCAGCGTTAATCTAGGGATTAGTGTAGCAACCCTTGCCTGTGCTCAATAGCCCGCATAAGCACGCAATGGCACGCAGTTGCCTGCAACGGCACGCAACGGCACGCAGGGGCCTATGCAATTGCGGGCAGACCCGTGCAGCACGGGGTAGCACGCATGAGCACGCGTGCGCACGGGGGCGCACGCAAATCAGAATTAATCCAGGGAGCCTAAGGCCAAAAAAAAATTACTTCTGCTTCCGATTACATGGCATTTGAAAATAGGGTAGGTAGGTAGGGAATTTATCTTTTTTTTGGCAATTTTTGTGAGTACAATCATATCGAGGTGAAATGAGATTTGAAGGTTTGCATGGTGAAAAGATACTAAGACAAGATAAGTTTGCGGTAGCACCATGTGAATAAATCTCTTTTGTGAGTATGTGTGGTTCTGAAAAAGAACCGGAGGGACTCAACGTTTCGAACAGTATGCTCTGCCCGTCGTCATATCGAGGTGTCTGCATGTAGTAAAGGGTACAAGATAGTAATTGATGGTTTTCAGGTTTTTTTTCTCATTTCCCCCCCCCCCCCCAAAAAAAATTTAGGGTATGGGCTGTTAAAAAAGGATAGGTAGGGTAACTGGAAGCAGAACTATCTGTGTTTTGTTTTTTTTGGCCTTAGTGGAAATGAGCGAAATGCATGAAAAGCAAATGATCCTTTATGCTTTTAAATGGACTTCTTTTTCACTTATTCAACTTCTAAGATCTACTGAGCTCGAAGACCAACTTACTAGGATAGTCCGCACCACACATTTCTTTCTCCAGCTGGGTGGGAGGTCCCAGTAACTTGTGGCCTTCGTCTAATCCTGTTACGGCAAAAACCTGAAACGTGAACTGGACGGCTTCCTGAAACGCCGAGCAGTTGACGTCGAGCACGGCCTGGGTCACCGAGACGGATTTGTTGACGCTGCCGTGGGAGGGGTCTCCGCTGGGCCAATAGTGGACCTCGTAGCCGAGAAGCGGTCCGTTCAAGGATTCCGGTCGGTCCCAGGACAGATCGATCACCGTGGAGGAGGCCTTGCGATGACCCAGGTTTCTTGGGAGAGTCGGCCCTGTTTAAAAAAAAAGGAGGACGAAAATTCAAACCAAATTTTCATAGGCAACTTGGAGAATTGTCATTGTCGGGGAACCAGACTAGCTGGCTTGCACTTGTTCTCGGATGTGCCACCGATTCCCAACAAAATGAGGACTAACTAAATTTTGTAAACGTAATTGGGGGCAGTATTTGAAAAAAGGAAAAAATTTCTTCGTACGATGGTGGAAAGTGATACAAAGGTGCCATGATTTCACAGGATGCTTGAGACTATTAATCACTTACAGGCAAGTAAGGTATTTCATAATAATTTGGTAGCTTTGTTTTTTCATGTTTGCAAATATTACCTTTAAAACAATCAATGAATAGATTAAAATAACTGATAGATGACACCAAACCACTTACTAGAAAACTGAGTTTTGAGCTCTTTGTCCGCTTGACTTTCTCCAGCTTTGTTGTGGACGATAACCATGACGTTGTATTTTCTGTATGGAAGTAGTTCTTCAATCAAGAACCGGCGATTTGTTGGGTCACGAACCTCACTGATGTATCTAATGACAAAGGAGGGGAAAGAAATATCAAATTTTGCACTTCTGCCAAACCGTTGTACATGTACCCTGCATGTATGGACTATCAAGGATACTCCACAATTAATACTGGTCAACCATTTATACTCCTAGGTGGACAGAGGAAAGTGGGGATAAAGTAGCTTGCCCAAGGACACAACATGTAGCCAGCAGCTGGATTTGAACCTCTGACTCTGTGATCATGTTATTCCCCTGCTACGCTAGTTGTACCCTGCACGTATGGACAATCTAGGTTACTCCTCAGTTAATGCAGGTTAACCATTTATACTCCTGGCTGGACAGAGGAAAGTGGGGGTAAGGTAGCTTGCCCAAGGACACAACATGTAGCCAGCAGCTGGATTCGAACCCCTGACTCTGTGATCATGTTATTTCCCCTGTATGCTAGTTGTACCCTCCACGTATGGACAATCTAGGTTACTCGTCAGTTAATGCCGGTTAACCGTTTATACTCCTGGGTGGACAGAGGAAAGTGGGGGTAAAGTAGCTTGCCAAAAAGGACACAACATGTAGCCAGCAGCTGGATTTGAACCTCTGACTCTGTGATCATGTTATTCCCCTGCTAGGCTAGCCTGCGCAATTCCCGATGACTTACACAATGCCGAGAGGGTCGACCTCATTCCACTTCACCGTGTATCTCAGGATCACACCCTGCGGATTGGACGGTTTGTCCCATGTGACCAGGATCCTGTCCGACGCCTCGGAAACCGCCACCAAGTTCTCTGCTTTCGCCGGCACTGTAAAATATTCCCCAAAGAGGTTAGAAATCCTAAAGCTGCTTTGCTCTCTCAAAAGGGACTCTTTTGGCAGCTGGTCAAATGGTTTTTTTTTAAATGTGGAAAAAAAGGTCGTCCCTGTTTCAAAAACTTTTAAATGTTTTGAAATTGTATTTTCCATAGCAAATTTATGCCGTCGGAAAAATCGGTGAATTTCAGCAACTTTCTTGTCGAGAGCCAAGAAAGATGTATTTCTTGAATTGATACAATTCTAAAAAATCAGGTCAAAAAACTTACATTGGAAGCAAAATCATGGTCTAAAACATTTACAGTACATTTGAGACATATTTAGGATCACAAATTTGAAAAAATGAAAAACAGATGGATAATGATGCTTATATTGTATACATGTCAAGTCCACAAGACAGCAAAAGAATCATTTGAATTAGGCCTCTGGAGATGTATGTATGTCACTGTGGGAGAGTAACTTCCTAAAGACTCCCAGTGAGTAATGTGGTGTGAACTTACTTCTTGTTAAATCCGGAATTACGAGTTCTGTGAAGGGTCCAACAGCGCCCTCTGTGGTGTATGCAGCAACTCGAACATCGTATTCCTGGAACTTGTCTATACCTGTATTTCCAAAACAAACAAAAAATTGTGTATAAGGAAAAAAAAAAAAAGCTCCGGTTTCTGGTCTGCGCGCGCGTCGCTGTAGCCATGCGCGCTGGCAAAATTAAAAACAAATGTTTCAATGTAAGATGATGTCTCAAAACTGCCAAACTCACTGGTTTGACTGGAATCCTGCGGCTGCACAATTTGAACGTGTTTTACGATTGAGTATAAGCTTTATGTGGCCTCTCTCGGCTCCCATACAATTTTGCACTAAATTTAGTCGAGCACCATTTGCAGTCATCAGCCAACATTTGAAGAAATAAAAAGTAAAAAAAGAAAAGAAAAAAAAAGCCGCGTCGCCGCACCACTATCGGGGCAAGCTCCATACCAGAAACCGAAGACTTTTTTTTTTTGGCCTGAAATTGCACAACACATATTGATGCTGTAGGTTTTGCAGTAATGAATCTATGATCCAACTTCAATATGTCTAGCCGAGGCCAAATCTGAGCCGAGCTAGTGGCTAGGTCTTTATCCACTACAATGACATCGGAACATGCTGACAACAGACATAGCCGTAGCTCCGGACACCCTGTTTCGGACACTGGCTTTCCCACTGCTACATCTTCAGTCTGTACGGGCCCGTCTCAGTTCGCATCCGGGACGAGTTCCAAACAAATAGCGGGTAGAATCATTCACGTTGTCCAGAAGAAGCTCTGCATTTGTCCCGGTCATGTTCCGGGGAAATTTTCATCAGCAACTGCTTGACTCACCAATACTGGTAACTTCACTGCGGGAAGATTGCGGGGGAAGTTGTTCAGAATCCTGTAACTTACAATATCCCAAACTTGTCCGGAATTTCGTCCCGGATATGAATTGAGATGGTCCCTAACAGTATTAGTACTTACAGCTATAGTCCATCATTTGCAGCCATCCGAAAAAGTAACTGGCGTAATTATTGTTGAAAAACATACTTGGTTGAAAGATAGTAAGTGGACTAAACTCCCTGTGAAATTATTCATTCTGGCAAGCTGTCACTTTGAAGTAATCAACGAAAGAAGGCCTTTCCAACGGTGCGTCTTAAGACGCACCGTAGGAAAATTTAAATTAGTAGTTCGTTTTGTTATTCGGCGCAGCGCGCACAAGCATTGGCACGACGCACAGGCGCGAGCGGTTGCTATAATTCGTCGGATCAGTGCGCGACATCGCGTATAGCTGCAATCAAAACAATTCAAAACATGATTCAGCAACTTTTGATTTGAAATTGAGATCCTAGAATGCTGTTTTTCTCGGAATATACAGCTGAAGCTGAGCTGAAACTTCATCAGGTTAGTTGCTCAGTATCCTTCATTAGATTTTGAACACTTTTGTTGCTTCAAACGAACAAAATGCACAAATGATGGACTATATCTTTAATACCACGGCTAAGCTCAATGTTGGTGTTTCAAAGTACCAACTGAAGAGATGCGTACAAGTTACATACCTCTTAGTTCGTACACGTTGTTGGCCAGGGAAACGTTGACGATGTCTGGTGGAGAACCTGACGAGATATACATCTGATACCCTCTGATGATACCATTTTGTTGGTCTGAACTCGGAGGCTGTACGCAACAAAAAGGACAATTTCATTTAGAGAGACAGAGATAAAACCTGAACAAATGCAACCAAAAAAAGAACAGATTCAAGTTGAAGAAACTTTATTTGGACTTTATAAGTACCACAATTTCATTATAGGACGTTATGAAAAATTAAGTTAATTTTATCAATTTTAATTGAATTGGATCGACTTGACTAAGAATCCCTGGATCCTGTCTGGTAATTAGATTTGATGCAGTTGACTTTCCAGGGCCAGTATAAACCTTAAAATCCTTGGTTATAAAACTGGAGCATGTTACGTAAGGAAAGCATTCAGAACCAAGCAAGCTTCCACAGTCTTCTTTGGTACACCAATAAGTGTTCAGCTCGGAGACTTCTTTCTAACTCATCCTCCAAACTTTAGAGGGTCAGAATACATTTCAGAAGGGACGAAGAGTCCTGTGGTGAAATATTCTGATGTTTATCTGAACTCGGTGTCTGTAACATGTCAAGTTTACCTGCCAAGTCAGCTGCACGTCTCGCTTGTAAGGATCCGGGTTCATACCTAGCACGGATTGACCCAGATTGTTAACTTCTCCAGTTGGCGCTGAGAAAGACAAAAAGAGAAAGCAACTGTCATTGACACTAACCACTAGGCCTTATTGCTAGGATGCAACCTCACTCCTCCAAAACATTTCCAACTGCTCCGTGTAAAAACTGGATTCAGCTTTAATTTATTCATTGGAGGGGTAACCACTGCCTCAATCCTTCAGGATTGATCCTCCAGCAGTCACTGCCAATGACATCCTGGAGCAGTGCGGATGATTTCAAGTATAATCTAGACCAAAATGTATGCGTGGCAAAGAATAAACAACACAATTAAGGCTTAGTCTAAGACCTTGACACAATGCATCCTCCAAAATCAGCCACGTAAGTCGTTATTTTGCCAGATAACCTTAATCCTTCGAAATCCTCCACTTGCAAAGAGGACTTTGGAGGATTTACTGGCCCGTTGAGATGGGCAGAGTGCGCAAAGTTGGATCACATGCATTTGGACACAGTACACATTCAGTCACTCGCAAGTCCGTTTACAAGTCTGCGCACAAGTAATGGCGGGTGAACAATCATCGTGTTCATCACAGTTCATTTGGATAGCTTGTGACTTGACTTGAGACTGGAGGACTTGTGATGGGCTTGCGACTGACTTTTGAGGACTTGTGACAGACTTGTGAGGACTTTGGGACAGACTTGTGAGGACTTGTGATGGACTTGTGAGAACTTGCGATAGACCTGTGTTGGACTTGTGTTGGACTTGTGAGGACTTTTATGGACTTGTGATGGACTTGTGATGACTTGTGATTGACTTGTGAGGACTTGTGTTGGACTTGTGAGGACTTGTGAGGACTTGTGAGGACCTTTGATGGACTTGTGATGGACTTGTGAGGACTTTTGTTGGACTTGTGATTGACTTGTGAGGACTTTTGATGGACTTGTGATTGACTTGTGACGGACTTGTGAGGACTTCTAACGGACTTGTGAGGACTTGCGCTGGACTTAACTACAACACTCAACAAAAGAGCGGCGCGGGTACACGGAATCCTTACCTGCTTCTGGCGAGACCCCAGTGACTAACGGAGACCATTCACTCCAGTTACCAGCGCCGTTCAGTTTACAGATAACCCTCGCCGTGTAGGTGGTGTAAGGTTCGATCTCGCGAACAGTGAATTGAAGGTAGAATAAATAAACCTGCAAACAGGATTGAACTCTACATGTTACGAAATGAAAACTTGGTACCGGTACGTTTGAAACACCAGGTTAAAATAATGGCATAAGGAAACTTTGTGTCCGTCAAAGTGTCTAAAAATAACAGGGGGAAAAAATGAATCCTAAAATCCTTGGTTCTCATTTGAATTTTTCCTATTTCTACTTGGGTCACCCTCTATTAAAAGATCCTACACTTCCTTCTGTCTGTCTGTCTGTCTGTCTGTCTGTCTGATGTCTTAGTCTCATGTTTTTTTGTAAAAGGCCTTAAAACTTAGATTATGCATTCGTCCTGTATATGGAGGTCCTTAACCGGTATATATATGCACAGATTTCACTGTCCTCTGAAGTCACCATTGGCACAGGAAGAAATGATTTATTTTATTTGTTTTGCTTTTTTTTGCAAATCGGTTTCTTTGTTACAATATTACAACATTATCTCTATGAAAACACTCCAAAACGTATTCATTTCGAATACATGTACATATTTATTTCAAATTCTTTCTTCTCGGTCATGTCCACTTGTCTGTCGATTAGGGTACAAAAGCATGATGCTTCACCTTATACCTAAATGTTGTCGTAAATTTGTTCTAGTATTGATCCATGTACATTATTATACACAATTACATAATTCATTGCATTTTGCTCTGTATAATATGTTTACACGGCATTGTAACATTTTATAGTAGGGAAATGGCAACATTGAAATAAATGTTTCTACTACTAAGGTCGGACGGGGGTAAAGAAAAAAAAAAGAACAAAAAAAAGAAACCTGACTGTATAATGAAACCTTTCTCAAAAATACCTCAATTGAGGGCGCACTGACAAGCTAGCAGATGCCCGCTAGTTCCATAAATTTTTGGTCCAAAGTGTGACATTTTTGTGTGTCTTTGTTACACCGGACCAGTGTAATTTTCCATTCAAGTATCATTAAAATACAACTATTTTTTATTTATTTTGCAGGTACTTTGCTTTGCATAATCACTCTTGGAGATAGAAGGCATTGAAGAAAGTGTCCTGAATTACAAAATCTTATATCAGGGACACAAACAAAAATTGGACCCCAAATGTATGGAATGACCCATTTCTGTAAACAATTCACCGTAGAAGTGCACTCACGTCCTCTGTGGTAGGTTTGGCCATCTTGCTGCTCTTGAACTCAACTTTATACTGCAGTAAATTCTGATTCTTTGGCAACCACTGCCGTGGTAACTCCCAGGTTACCTGCATGTCCACGGTACCGTTCTCCCCCGGTAGGAACCTAAGCTCCACCCCTTCTGGGGGGTTGGGAATGGCTGCGATGAAACACGATAAAGAACGGACTCAACAATCAAGGACAGAAACTAAAGTTTGAGTTTATATTAAGGCTTCGAAAGCTTCCTAAACAAGTTTATGCTAATTAGAAGTGGTTAAAGCCGTTCCCATTGACAATGTGTGGCTACAAGCCGTAGCCAAGTACATGGACGGGGCTTAACCATAGCCCCTTTTGGCTAGGAACAATCCTCATCCACCAAAATCCTATGTACTGGTAAAACTTTGATACAGTGGAACGTCGCTATACGGAACACCACTATACCGAATATTCGGCTATACCGAACATCATCCTTGGCTCTTGATTTTTGTGTTCAAAACATACCGAACATTGCTGTTGAGAAATGTCGATGGAAGAGCGCAAAGTGGCTATCATTTCCCCCAAGGAATAGAAGGGGAAAGCCACCCATTTCTGTAGGTAGTAAGCTAAAAAAACTGTGTAACTATGTATAGTCGGCACGTGTTCAAAGTCGTCTTTCAGTAACTACCAGGGCGTGCAGGCTGAAGTTTTGAAGGGCGCTTTTTATTGAAAAGTGAGTATCAGAGCACCGGCAGCTTAAAATCGCTACACCAAATGATCCCTTTTACAATTTCTGTGGATCCCGCGATGTTCATTGTAGTGGCGTTCCCCTGTATACAGCCTCAATCCTCCAAAATCAGCCTTTTTTTTTCTTCAATCCTTCAAAATCCTCCGCCTCTCGGAGCAGTGCGGATGGTATCCAGAAGCAGTGCCGATGATATCCAGCATAATCTAGGTATAATTTATGCATGGCCACGCATAAACATTGCAAGGTATAGCTTAAGACCTTGACGCAATGCATCCTCCAAAATCAACTGGCACTAAAAAGACACACAGCCTCAATCTACCAAAATCCTCCAAAACTGCCGGGTTAGTACTTACTGTCTTCAGCCCTGGCGAAGTGAACCATGCTGGTCGTCGAGTTACCCAAAGGGTTCTCTTGAGTAACACGTATCTCCATCTCGTACATAGCTGTTTGCCCAGTGAAGCTGAGTGCATTTCGATCGAGTTTCATCTCACTCCAGTCATTATCGCCTCTGAAGTTGGCAAAAGGAACGAGAAAAAGAGAAACAGATGATTGATAGTTCTGGACTCTGGTTATTATTCAGAACTTTTCATTATTGAAGATTTTAGGAAAGACCACCTTTGGTATCTTAAAATTTGATGTCCACACAGAATTTGCTGAGTTAACGTCTTTTAATTATACCGCAACAAGGCCTTACAGGGAAGGGCGCCTCGCCTAAAAGGTTGTGGGGACAGCAGAAAGTCCCCATAACTCAGTCCTAATTTGCCTAACAATAAAAAACTTCCCCATAACGCGGTGACGGCCTGCCCACACACACAACCAGTCGTACTTTACATTACTCTCGAGGACAAGGGATTGTCTTTCCCTTTGTCCCTATTTTAACAATCTCCCGTAGACTAAGCACACACTAGATGGGTCTAGAACGGCCACGTGTCTGGTCTATAAAAATGCATGTCACACACTTATATCCATTTTTACGTGCAGATCAGTGATATTGCACTGTGTTCATTGCGCGCGTTGCATGCGCGTATAGAGCCTACCAGCGTGCTGGCTTCGTGCAATGAGAACTTAATTAACTGCAACGTCAACCGCTCAGTCTCATGTCCGGCATGGCAGGACATCAACACTTTCAGTTATCAAAGGTTAAAGCTACAGTCCATCATTTGCAGCCATCCGAAAAGTAACTGGCGTAATTATTGTTAAAAAACATACTTGGTTGAAAGATAGTAAGGAGACTAAACTCCCTGTGAAATTATTTTCTCTGGCAAGCTGTCGCTTTGAAGTAATCAACGAAAGAAGGCCTTTCCAACGGTGCTTCTTAAGACGCACTGAAGGAATTTTAAATTAGTAGTTCGTTTTGTTATTCGGTGAAGCGCGTGCAAGCATTGGCACGACACACACGCACGCGCGGTTGCTATAATTCGTCGGATCAGTGCGCGACATCGCGTCGCTGCAATTGGCTCAGTGAGAACGTGTCGCGGACGCTGACTTCAGGCCCAATTCAAAACATGATTCAGCAACTTTTGATTTGAAATTGAGATCCTAGAATGCTGTTTTTCTTGGAATATACAGCTGAAGCTGAGCTGAAACTTCATCAGGTTAGTTGTTCAGTACCCTTCTTTAGATTTTGAGCACTTTTGTTGCTTCAAACAAACAAAATGCAAAACTTACAAATGATGGACTATATTTTTAATTACAACCATGTATCCTTTCGACTAATTGGCACGATATAACAAAACAATTGTTGACTGCTGTGATATGCGATTTGCTGTTTTTAACCCCCTCAGGGTGCATAACAGCTGAGGCGAATGCGCCTCTCGAGCATTCGAGCATCCTTTCCAGTAGTCTTCCCAAACTCTCGCTTTATGTTGAGGGGGTAGTTGTGTACGGAGCCCAAAACGAGTTCAACTTCAAGTACATTCACTCACATTCTCTGCTTGTACTGAACATACGTAGCCTTGACACCGAGTCCGGTGTACTGTTCCCGCTCCCAGGAACACGTGAAATTCTCTTTGTCACGACTGAGACAGCGAAGATTCTCAACTGGATAAGGAGGAACTGTGGCGATAGAACAAGAAAAACAATTTTTGTTTAAAGGTTCATTACTACAATCCTGGCCAAATCTTGCTGGGCCTCCAACCCCCCGGCCCCCCCCCCCCCCTCAATGTTGTCTCTCATTGCGCAGTGTGTGCTCCATCAGCTGGAGAGAACAACATTGAGGGGGGGGGAGGGGAGCAGTGGGTGACCGTGGCAGGCTAAGGTTATTTCCAAGTGTTCCAAGGACCTGTTTGTTGCCACCCATCGAGCATCTCAGATGTCTCCCATTGATTGGCACATCAACTGCAAACTTGGCCAGCGAATTGGTCTTGGGGTCCCCCAGAAGCCTAATAGTTTTGGCCCCATAGGTCAAAGGTCAAGGTCATTGTGGTTAAAACAGTAAAACTGGTTTCTAAAGGATATCTCAATAATTATTTGGCTGATCAACATGTGCGTTGTAGGTATGTCAATGTACCGTAGGTCTTGGGGTCCCCCAGAAGCCTATTGTTGGTTTTGGGTGCTATAGGTCAAAGGTCAAGGTCATTATGGTAAATAGAAATTGTCTTCCAGGCATCATTTCAGAAATGTTCTTGTTGATTCTTTTTGGACATTTGTTGAGACAGGCATTCAAGTTGCAACACACAATTGAATGCAATGATGCTGCCCCATGGACAATCTCGCTAAGTGCAACTTCTAGTTTAGGGGTTTCAGGAGCTTCAGCGATTGCGCGCTCATTATTTCTTACACAGGGTTCCAAAGTGAGGTATCAAAATGAACAGGAGAGTGTCAGTGACAAAACGTATCTTTCAGTTGTTTTGTTCACAGAGATATGTCCATACAAGGACGATTATAAAAACTGCTTAGTTTCTTTTTGTGCCAGGTGTACATGTACCGGTATATATCAGCTGTCAAAACTGACTTTTGAGCAACCAGGAGAGGGTGGAATTTTTAGAGGGAAAATGGCGCTGACTCCATGTTGGAAACAAACTCTTCAAATGTCATGAATGTTACAACTTACTTCCTACATATACTCTTGTGGCTGTTCTGACCAACGTGCCGTAGCTGGGCAGTGCGTCGCAGTCAAAGCAGCAACGATATGTCATCCCTTCCCTCTCGCCTTTTTGCGGCATTCTAAGAGTCCGCAGGTGTAAGAGGGAGGTCCGATTGCCTTCCACCTCGACGCTGTGATCGGCCGCGACAGCACCGCATCCCCCCATGGGAAATGTGCAGGCGACCCAGTTGACGTCCGATGCCGTCTGGCCGTCCAGCGGTCCGGCCAGTGTGCAGTTTAGTGTCAGATCAGTCCCATTCAGAACGATAGGATCCATGGGCTGGACATCGGCTGAAAAATGACAAAGTAAAGTAAAGACTGAGAATATTTTTGTACACCTGGGTGGAAAGAGGCAAGTTGGGGTGAAGTGGCTTGCTCTAGGACATAACCATACTGCCAGTGGCAGGATTCGAAACCCTGACCCTCTAATCACGAGTCACAAACCCAACATGTAACCACCCGAACACACTTCCCACAATATGAGGATGCAATACACCATGTACTAACAATGTCTTTCTCTCAGATTCAAAAAGTCTGACTTCAGACAAAAATCTGAAAAATCTCATGCCGGTAAAATGGGACCAAAAATAATACAATTTGACTCAAAGTTCCTAAATGTATTCTCTAATTGCCTTAGAATGGGGAAGGGGTGTGCCCCGGACCCCCAACAGCAGGGGTACACCTTCACTCAAATATCAAACCAACCCCCTTTCAAATGTTTCCTGAAATGCTAGATCCGCCCCTGACTTGAACATAAATATCAGTTCTATTAGTGGGCTGCATCTTAGAATTCACGGCATAGTTTTTCTGTACATTCTATTTACGTTTAATAAATTGATTAATTTTACAAGCAAGTACATGTTCTCATTCAGGTTTATTTGTTACTTCACATCGCACTATTCCCAGCTGTCATAAGTTATGGTACAACGAAAAGCTGTAATGAATTTAGATGTATCAGAAACTATAGGCCTAAGTACTGTATTAATCATTACCCTGGATTGGACATTTGGGAGACATCCCCATAGACTTGTGCACAATTTTTTTCAAACTTGTGCCCTAACCCAATATTCTCTTGTCCTTTTTCCATGAATTTCGGTATGTTTACTAATTAGACCACGAGCAACAAATATAACCTAATTGCGACAATAAAATTGTGCCTCTAACATGGCTGTGACATTAGGGAGACCTGAAAATGTCTCCCTTATGACCGATGTCTCCCATCACGCGAAGAAATTACAATACCGTGTATCCTTAGTGGTACCTTAACACGTATACCTTTGCATTTCATTGCACTTTTGGATAATTTGCACAATTTTGGCAGAAACTTGAAAAACACTTGCGGGTGTTTTAAAACGTAGCATTGTACAAGATGCATTCCTTCTTTCTGGGTAAGAAAACAAACTCAATAACTGAAGCTTCATATGCAGTGAACTAGTAATTTGCACCCCTGGCCAAATGCATAACATGTACGAGTGAATGCACATTAGCACTGGCAGCTGTCTATATTCTAGGAAGCAGTGGTGACAACGTGCTTCCTCCCCCACCCACCCCCCCCCCCATCCCCCATCCCCCCGACCCCCCCCCCCCCCAACAGTAAAGAGGTAGGGGATGAATTTTATAGTATCACACACCACACTCACAGACAACTTCATAGCAACGCCAAACTGCTTGACATTTTCAGAGACTCTTAACAGAAGATGCCCGAATGACTCGGCACCATGTCTAGCGATATGTTGAATGTTGCCAGGGCAAATAGTGTTCATCTTGCGAGCGAAAGATCGACCCGTCATATCTTGAGTCTGACTCTTTTGACTTTTCTCTACTTTGTTTTTGTCCCCGCTACAGAGTTTGTCAGACAGTGTGTACAAGATTTCAGCCAGGCTGGATCTGATAATGATGTCTGCTGTGTAATCAAGCACAAGACGGCTACTATAGAGTTACTGGCTTGCCACTTGAAAGATCAAAACGACAGTCTAATGACCCAATTCGTCTCTTCTCTCTTCTCCAACAAACTGCCAGACAATTATTTGGTACTGAGGAATGAATGAAACTGGTCACAGACTACCAATTGCAACTGACAACACATTCCAAAGTGAAGTCTCCAATTTTCCAAACTCAGGCGGTTCACTTTCTTGTTAAGTACTATAGGCCTATCGGCTCTGTGCGGGAACAGAGAGTGCACTTTTGACCACTTTTGGGAGCACCAGTTGGGGAAACCACTGCGTGCTCATACTGGTTCGCACGCGGATGGCGCCAAGTACAAAAATGTACGACTTTTATTCTGAATGTGAGTCTTTGCTTGAGCATTAGGCATCGTTGGCAATGCGTTCGAATGTCTCTCCCAGTGGTCTCCCCCAACTCTCCTTTTCTTACCGTTGAGGGGGTACTTGTGCAGAGAGCCTACAGGGGCAGTCCTACATGTAAACATGTGGAACTCCACGTGTCCCCCCCTCCCCCTACCCCCCCCCCCAAAAAAAAAGATGTTTAGCCCCACAATCTAGAGCAATACAAGGCAAACTATTTTTGGCAAGACAAGGCGAGTAATGCTGGTCCTCGAGTGCACAAACTTCTATTCAGTTGATTCAGAATGACTTTTTACTGGAAGTCTTATCAAGCAATGTGGCCTACACAATGGGCCGGATTTAGCCCATTCTTTGGCCTCACAGCAGGTAATCCTATTTCAAACTTTTTGGTCAAGGTGAGACTTGAGCAAGTCTAATTGACAGCCAGCGAGTCAGTCGGGGAGTCAGTCAGTCAGTCAGGTACAGGACTATATATAAGCTAGCCCCTCTGGGACCAGCAAAACATGTACAGCCTAAACGCCATTTGCCGTTATTTCTTCCATTTCAACGACAACTCTTCTTTTATAAAAAGTAACAAAAATTGTTTACAAACAATATCCGATGTACCGGTATAATGTAATGCTCAAAACTTTCTCAAATTCTGAAAACCTGGTCATGAATACTACAAGTCACATTCCACCCATCATCTCCCTCAAAAATTGGGTCAAACCACACCCACGTCCATGACACTGTTGACAGCTTTCAAGAAGCTGCGGAAATATTAGGATGTCAGATTTACAGGCACACAAGACAAGACAAGACAGATCAATAAAGATGATGAAAATGGGACGCTGGATTAGTGGACATGCTTGTCAGACACATTTTGAGCTTGAATGGGCAAACAGGCCAAACATATCACTGGAGCCTAGTAGTTGGAACATCAAGAAGCAAATGTCAACTGGGCATCAACTGGCCATTAATTCTACGATGCAGATGCTAGCTATCCCTCCTGGGCAGTAACAGGATAACCGTTCAAAACTTAAAGGTTTATGTATGGCATGCTGTTCCAACTTAACTGTGCGTCGTCAAGTCTGCTTTAAGATTATTCGAATCCCACTCATACACGGAAAATGTAGCGCATCTGTGTCCCATAAACATGTACCACTTGACCTTCGGCCTTGTGGTATATGGGACACGGACGCACTACATTATCCCGCATTCCACTTGCGCTCCTCGGATTACTACTAATAATTATGTACAAAGATGATATCACTTCTGAAATCCAAATTCCAAAGATTCAACTGTATCACGTCAACAAATGGGTGTCCATTTGAAGGGAAAAACAGAGAAATATATGAACGTGATGACAGCTAGGATATTCACTTCCATCATAAACACCTTCAAATTGACAGTAATTGCAATTAATTAATTTAGAACTTTCTTAGAAGTCAATGATATTGATTTCCAGACATTTATCGGTTTGGGGGCAAATTCTCAAGTGGTTATGTACCGGTAGTCTAAATTTTTCTACACTACTAATTGTGCTGGTGAGGTCTCATAAAAGCCACTGCAATAGCCCTGAGCCGTACCGGTCCACGTCAAGCTTTTGACATGCAATTATACGCAGGTTTGGCCTTGCCCAATATTATTTCTACAAGAGCTTTCCCTGATTATCTTAAAAGCTTGATCATCTGCCAAAAGCAAGTTAAGAACAGAGCGCAGACTTGACACCTGAGGAAAATGCCGCGTAAGCAATCAATATACAAAGCACGCTCTACTTCAAGTGTACTGACAATGTCCGGCAAAGTACAGCTGCGCGTTCAATTTACGTCACATCCGAGGAAATCCCAAGGCATGGATGCGCTTGTCAAAACAGGCGCAATGTTTTAAGTGATAAGGAGAGATAGGTCTGAAATAATCGCCTGTGTCAAATTACGGCGCAAATTTTCTTTCCTGCTCATGTTTTCACCATCAAAATGCTTTTTGCGCTGAAGTGGACTTTGCAGAGACATCTCAGAGTAGCAAAGCAGACAGCAAGAGGCCTTGAATTAATGAATTCCCGGAAAAAAAAGTAGCCGCCGAACCTTGTGTAACCCCTGGCCGTTTTTAGAAGGACAAAGAAAAGATCTTAAAATAGGTTCTCAGTGCTTCAACATGCCACGGCCTTCACAAATAACAGGCAATTTTTTTTGCCTTGAGTGTGTATATTGCTCTATGGTATATTGGTGCATGAGTTGTACACTTTAACTTAAGTTAAGTCTAAGAATCTAAAAATCGACCTTTTTAGCTTGTGAAATGGATTAAATTTTTCAAAAGCACTTAGGTACCGGCGCTATGACAACACAACTAAGATACAGAGTTAATCTTCCATCTTGACACCAATTATGCCCCAGTGCATCCTGGGAACACGGTGCAACCTGAGACGAAAGTGCAGCATACCTGCCCAGGCTAAAAAGACGTCGTGTTTCTATCAAAGAAGCGTCCCAAATGTGACAGTCCAGCAGGTCATTTGGATTGTTTTGGCTTGGCAGATTTCCTACGGTAGCTTTGTCAAAGATGAGCATTAAGCTTGCATTTCAATCTTCAGTGAGTATGCAAAACCCTAAAGCATTTTCTCAAAGATGCATATCTAAGCTATCTTCAATAAATTCAATATTTTTCTCCTAACATGCCTAACACAAATGTTGGAAATTGTAGATTTTATTTTAAAGGGAATATACATCATTTGCTTTTGCTGTAATTTTCAGAAATGGATGGAATTGGGGGGTTGGAAATATATAGCAAATATAGTTACACTGACTTTTTTGAGGTTTTGGGTTCGAAAATGCTATAAAAACCAAGAAAAACAATCATTTTCCTGTAGTCTGGTTCCCTGACTCCATTTAAGAAGAAACAGAGCAGTTTACATACATTGGGGAATTGTAAGGTCAGAGAACCAGTCTAGCTGACTTGTACCCGTTCATAGGTGTGTAATCGATTGCAAACAAGTGCGATGGTCAACTGGGGCCA